GTATTGGCAAAGTGGCTAGGGTAGCTGGCACCCCCCCTGCTATGGATCCATCTAGTTGGCCAAATGAGATTGGTTGTTCCAGTCTCCTGGATGGGATGCCCAGATTCCCCACTAGTGTTGGGCTAATGAGGCAGCGGGTACAGCCAGAGTCTATTAAGGCTTTCACCTTCACAGCTTCGGGCATGGGGGGGATTAATATAGTCACTGTTTTGAAGATGGGTGTGATGCATCCACTTACCAGGGGTTCGCCCTCCGAGCTGTCATCTGAGGCATCCACCGGCCCTGTGGTGTAGGCTGGAGTCCTTTCCCCTTGGTGAGCAGAGGTGGGGGTTTCTGCAATTTCCATCATTCTCATGGCCGTTTCTTTTGGCTTAGCTGAATACTTTCCGGGTTTGTTGATTGGGGATCTGTCTGGGTTGTGCTGGGGGGCCTTTGAGCGGCATTCTACAGCTCGATGCCCTTCTCTTCCGCACTTGAAACATCCCATTTGCTTCTTGGCTGTATCCGATGATTTCACCGGTTGGTGTGTCAGCTCAGGCGGGGGGCGGCTCCATTGTTTTCCTCGGCGGTGCCTCTTCAATATGTCGATCTCTGCTTCCTCTGCCAAGACGTACCATTCCTCAAGTCGATGTGGGTCCCCTCGGGGCAGGCAAGCATCATATAGATCATAGTTTAGTTCGTCTTTGAAATGGCCAAGGAGGATGTCTTCTGGCCAATTCAGTTTGCTGGCAATGGCCCGGAATTCTTGTGTATACTCAGCCACTGGGCGTTTGCCCTGCCTCATCGTTGTTATTCTTTCACGGGCTTTGCGATCAGCCAGGGGGTCTTCAAATCGTCTTCTCAAAGAGGACATGAAACGGTTGAAGTTACTGAGTTCTGGGGCATTGGAGTCATGCAAGTTCACTACCCAATCCGCAGCTGGTCCATCCAGGGCAGATTGCACGATCCGGATGCGGGCTTTGTCGCTGGGAATATCCTGCCCATATTCCTCCATGTAGCTGAGGACTTGGGTTAGGAAAAACCCCAAGCGTGTTGGCTCCCCTTTGAATTTCACTTCCAATGGTGGACGTCTTGGAATGGATCGGTGCCTCTGTTGTGGGTGGTAGTGCCTTCCGTCCAGATTGCCATCTGTGGTCCGGTAGGGGGTGGGAGCTCCTGGATCAGTAGATGTCCCTGGGGTTGCAGGTTCCATGTCCCCCTCGGTGTCTCTCCCTTTGCGGCTCCAGGAACTGGGGCGGCCGTAGGGTTCAGTATTCTCCTCTCCTAGGGAGCTGAGAGTTCTCTTCATCAGGTCAATAGCTTTCTCTAGGATCCAGTCTGAGTACGGTGCCCAGCTTCCTCCCTCTTCACTTGCGTGCAGGGATTTCTCCATCTCCTGCTTCCATTCTGGTTGCTTGGTCCCCCGTCTCAGGGTCACCTTTCTTGATTCCTTTCCCCACTCACTTTTCTTTCCAACGCCCATCGACCAGCGAGGCTTGTGGTCCTGTGTCTCCACCACTTCTTCTCCTGAGGAATCTGGCCTCTCGGATCCCAACATCTGGCAAGGTTCCAACTGGGTCAGCGGCTCTCTTTCCAGGGAGTTTTCCCCCTCTCTTGCTCCATTGTCTGACATGGTAAATTTTTGCAAAATCCCCCGGCAAGGGTCTTCCTTCCAGGTGGATTAATTTTGCAAGTCCTGTCTAATGTAAGGACCCACCCCACTTTGCATCTTAAGAAGACAGAACTCTTAGAATAATTCTTCCAACAGGAATCCTTTATTAAGAGAAAATGGTTGTAGGCATGCTAGACAGGACTTGGGGTCCAAGCTCTCCCATTCAAGGTTTTAAGGGGTTCCCCAGTAGTCCCACCCAATCAACCCGCCTTCCAGTTATAGTTTCAAGTATCACAATTCCACTCCCTTTCTTCTTTCTTCCGTCTGGATGGAGACTTCAGATAACTACATGAAAGGCAACTTCCCTCCTTTGGTATGTTAACGCTTCGAGGTTACAATAAACACACATTCAGCATTCAGCTCTTTGAAGTGTAAAGAAGGAAGTGAGTGCCATAAAGCCCCTTTGTTCTCCCCCTTCTCTCCCTCTTATGGCAGAATCCAGAGAAGGCAGAATTGGGAGTTTCTATATTTGATAATTTAAAGATGAAATATAATTGGATTCTGACATTGATGCTCGTATACGCCGGCAATTAGCAAGAGTAGATCAGCAGCAGTCAATATGACGACTCCAGGGAAAAAGGAGAAGGCACTGAGAGGCAACACCTTGGGACTGCTGTATAAAAAGAGGAGGTGTGGGCGGTGCTGGTTGCTGAAGGCAACCGTTTGCAAAGTACTTCATGGGATCCTGTTCTGTTCGTCTTGCCTGTGTCTACTCTTCTGTTTGCAACGTGTTTCATGTGGACTATTTCCTCCATTTGGATTGAGTTTTGCTGCTTTTGTTTATGGACTATTTGGCAGGTTTGTCACCCATATTAAAAGGGGTTTGTTTTGTTTTAAGTCTCCAGCCTATTTTATCAACAGGGGTTTGGTCCTTGTGCCTTTAACAAGGACGGCTATAGGCTGGGATAGAACACATCCAACCATGTGGGACCTCGGCGAGTTAGTGGGTGGCTGGTTGAAGAGGGAGGGTTGCCATTTCCAGGGCATGGTGAGCATGTCCACAAAGAGGGCTCTGAGTGCCGCCTCTGGCACGCATGCCATAGGTTCACCACCATTGCTCTAGGAAGTCACTTCAGAGCCGAACTTGACTTGAAAGAGATTTCCCTTGTCTTCTTTTGGTGAATACAGATATTGTCTCATTTACTTACATATTTGTGATAAGAGGAGAAAGGAAGAATCTGGCTCTGTAGGTAACATAAAACCTTACTTTCCAGAGATTTTACTGGAGAAGTGTATGGCTAAAATTACGTGGAGGGTGTGTTGTTTACAGGCGGGTTTATTTTTGGCATAGATGGCACCTGGATTACTTTTAAGATCCCAGCTTTGATGTTCCGGGCAGTCAGTTGGTTTGCTTGATCCTCTTAATTCTAGACAGGCTCTTTGCAGGAGCAGAAATGAGCTACAGAATCTGGAATGAAATGTTTGCAAAAGATGTCTCTGGATGTGTTCAGAATGCTTAGCTTTAATTACCTCCCCCTTTATTTGTTGAGTTTTTGCAACCCAGATTTGCAATAAAGAGGCAGTGCTTGTAAGGACAATACCACTTAGGGGGAAAGGAGTAGAATGGGTTTATATTTAACCCCATATTTATATTTATATTTATTTATTAATAAAATGTATATGCCGCCCAATCCCTAGGGACTCAGGGTGGCGTACAAAATTAAAACAATAAATATAACAATAAAATAAGTGCATTCATACAGCATGTCCCAATCGTATCCCGGCCCCCCCGGGGACATCAACCCCAGGCCTGCCGGAACAGGAGAGTTTTAATGGCTTTCTTAAAGGCCGGCAAGGTGGGAGTAGTTCGAATCTCGGGGGGAAGTTGATCCACCACGTCAGAGCCACCACAGAAAAGGCCCTTTCCCGAGGGCCCGCCAGCTGACATTGTCTAGCCAACGGGACCTGAAGGAGGCCCAATCTGTGGGACCTCACCGGACTCTGGGAACTATGCGGCAGTATGCGGTCCTGTAAGTAACCTGGTCCTAAGCCATGAAGGGCTTTAAAGGTAATAACCAACACCTTGAATTGCATCCGGAGACCCACAGGAAGTCAGTGCAGCTCGCGGAGGATAGGTGACACGTGGGTGTACCTTGGTGCACCCACAATCGCTCTCGCGGCTGCATTCTGAACCAACTGCAGCCTCCGAATGCTCTTCAAGGGTAGCCCCATGTAGAGCGCATTACAGTAATCCAGTCTTGAGGTGACAAGGGCATGAGTAACCGTGAGTAGAGCCTCCCTCCGGTCCAAATAAGGCCGCAACTGGTGCACCAGGCGAACCTGGGCAAAGGTCCCCCTGGCCACAGCCGATAGATGTTGTTCCAAATTTAGCTGTGAGTCCAGGAGGACACCCAAGTTGCGTGCCTGCACTGAGGGAGGTAAATTTACCCCCCCCAGGACTAATGATGGACCATCAGGATGACCCTTGGGGGGCAAGACCCAGAGCCACTCGGTCTTGTCAGGGTTGAGTCTAAGCCTATTCACCCCTATCCAGACCCTCACATCTTCCAGGCACCGGCACATCACGTCGACTGCTTCACTGAAAGGACACAGGGTGGAGATATACAATTGGGTATCATCCGCATACTAATGATACCTCACCCCGTGTCGCCGAATGATCTCACCCAGCGGTTTCATGTAGATGTTAAAAAGGAGGGGGGACAGGACCGAGCCCTGAGCCCTGATTTAAAGCTTCATGGTGTCCAAAGCAGAACATCCAGATTTAGTCACAGTTTTGTTCCATACAGTATTGACCTTGTGAACTGTATACAGCTTCCTCTTTCCATTATGTATTCAAGATGGACAGTGATTAATATTTATATGTTACGTATATGTAAGGGTATAGGTCTATACATATATTGTATATAGTATGTTTAAATGTGTGTTATGTATGTGTACACTTTGAGAGCAAGCTACTAAATTACATTTTTAACGTGTGCCATTGTGCCCACAGTAAAAAATAACAATAAAGGTCTGTCTGTCTGTCCGTCCGTCCCTCCCTCCCTCCCTCCCTCCCTCCATCCATCTATCTATCTATCTATCTATCTAGTTTAAAATATCAATATCAAGATGGTTGTTGGGCTAGCTAGAGCAAGGTGATGTTGAAGGAATTCAGGTGGCCACGTTTTGTGAAACTACTAAAAGACATATGTTGCTTTAACCTCGTTAAGTTTCAAACCTTTTGATTTCTCTTCACTTTTACTTTCATATATACATATATAATATTCATATTTATATTCTTACATATTTATATTTTTATGCATATATATATGTATATATATGTGTGTGTGTGTGTGTGTGTGTGTGTGTGTGTGTGTGTGTGTGTGTGTATATATATATCTTTTTCCAGAGGATTTCACCGTTGGGCTGTGGCTTTCAGAGACCTTGAGACTAGGCTCTGCTTTGGACGCTGGCACCTCACCACTCTCCATCCTCCGTGGTCACACTTCTGGGGTGACCTGTTGCGCCTTCAGCCTTGACGGCAACTATCTTGCTACTGGAAGCAAAGACCGGGTAAGGCTGTCAGATGACCGTCACCCAAGGGCAGAAGAACTTTTATCAGGTCCCAAAGGAAATGGGATGAGCTTCTGGGGTACAGCTTCCCTGTCACACCCAACCTGCCCCCCGATACTCCAGAACAAGAAGATTGGTGCATTCATCAGTTGTGCAGGCTCTGTCTCCTCACAAATGTCTGCTGGAGTAGTTTGCTCACCTGCACACCTGCCCGCTATCCTTTGTAGCCTACGTATGAATCTTTCTGACCTGTGAAAAATGGGTGCCTAAGAAAGTAGAACGAAGGAAAGAATAGGGCAAAAACTGCTGTGGTTCTTTCCTTTGCACTGAATGCATCTCCTCCCAATCTCAGGCCTTGTTTCTATGGGATGTAAGGGACCCTCTTCAGAAGACTCCGTCTCTCTTGTGCACCCTGCTTTTCTGTCACCAGGACTGGATTTCCAGCTGTGCTTGGATTGGCACCATGTTGGTGAGTTTGGAGAAATGCCCAGAGCATGCACTTCTGAGCTTCTGGGGAGGAGAGTCTCCAAGGCAGAGGTGGGGATGGGTTAGTTTCTGTCATTGTCAAAGGGATGGCCCACCACTTAGTGGCCACTGAAGTAGCATTTGCAAGCCCACTATTGTGAATCAGTAGGAAAAAAGAGCCAGGCTAGAAACCAGGAGACTGTGAGTTCTAGTCCCGCTTTAGCCATAAAAGCTGACTGAGTGAATTTGGGCCCATCACTCTCTCTCAATCCCGTTCACCTCACAGGGTTGTTGCTGTGGGGGAAAATAAGAAGAGGAAGGAGTATCAGGTATGTTCCTAGCCTTGAGTTGTTTCTAAAAATAGAAATCTAAAAAAAAATAAAATGTGTGACAGATGGGAACTTTCCTCTGAGTCAATCAAAGAGGCAGCACTTTCTTACCATTGATGTCTGCTGGGTGGCTGGATTTGCCTAGAGCAGGGGTAGGCAACCTTGGCTCTTTTATGACTCGTGGACTTCAACTCCCAGAATTCCTGAGCCAGCTAGGCTGAGGGGAAAGGGAGAGGTTTCCAAGCTGAGCCATGCTGACTCAGGAATTCTGGGAGTTGAAGTCCACGAGTCATAAAAGAGCCAAGTTTGCCTACCTCTGGCCTTGACAGTTGTTGCATTAATTGTGGAGCATTTAAGTGTTAGATGTTATCATTATTCAGACCCATCACATTTTTATTATGGCCATAAGACCAGCAGACAGGTGAAAGTAAAACAGAGGAAAATGGAAATATGCAAGGCTAAAAAAGGAAAGAAATTAGGACACATTTTCAGACCCAAGAAGATGTGAGTGGTTGCTTATATAGCAGAACTGTATCTCCTTTTTCAGGGAAAAGGACCAGGGTGCAATCATCTAAGTAAAAATAAAGTTGACTCTCCTACGGGCTTAAAGAGAGAAAAGCAGAAAAGTTTTCTTTCTAGTCACTTACAGTTAGTTCTTGACGTGCAACCGTTCATTCAGCGACTATTTGAAGCTAGGCCACTGCTGAACAAAGGGACTTACTGTACCCGAAGTTATGGCCACTGCAGCGCCCCCGTGGTCATGTGAAAAATATTGGGCACTTGGCGGTCTGCCTGCTCTTACAACCAATTATGGGTTCCTTGCAGTAGCCCCTACCCACCTATCAGTTCTGGGAGCCATTTTGTGATAAGGTAAACCCTGTGGCTTCTGTTTCCTTTGAGCATCTACATCAGTGTTTCTCAACCTTGACAATTTTAAGGCATGTGGACTTCAACTCCCAGAATTCCACAGCCAGCATTGCTGGCTGTGGAATTCTGGGAGTTGAAGTCCACATGCCTTAAAATTGTCAAGGTTGAGAAACACTGATCTACATGCTTTCAAAGGATGACAAAGGCTGGATAATCCTCATGTGGGCAATAGCATAACTTTTGACTGACTGACTGACTGACTGACTGACTGACTGACTGACTGACTGACTGATTATGTGCCTTCAAGCCACTCTCAATGGCCACACAGCTTTCTCCAGAGAGCTGGCTCCCCTCATAATGTGTCAAAAATAGGATCGTTGAAGCCCGGTTCTTTGTGTCTTAAATGAGAAATCTTGATTGATTTGTTTGATGAACCATCCATTTGTTCAGTTTTCAGTCTGGTGGCCTATCAATTAAGACAATGTTGGCAGTTCGAGACTCAAGTACCGCATGATGGGGTGAGCTCCCGTTACTTGCCTCAGCTCCTGTCAACCGAGCAGTTCAAAAGCATGCTAATGCGAGTAGATAAATAGGTACCACTTCAGTGGGAAGTTAACAGCATTCCTTGCCCCTCAGCATATCGTCATGCTGGCCACATGACCATGGAAATGTCTTTGGACAAGGCTGGCTCCCTTGGCTAGAAAATTGAGATGAGAACCACCCCCTAGAATCAGACATGACTGAACAGGAGAAATCTTTGCCTTTACCTTTATAGTTCTAAAGTTTTTTCTCTCTCTGCATTTATAACTCCTCTCTCTGACCCTTGTCCCTTTGGCAACAGCTATCCGGCTCCCATGATGGTACCGTTTGTCTCTGGGATTCTACAAATAGCGAGTGTATCCAGAAATTCCTGGGGCACCAAAGCCCAATCTGTGGTATTACAACTGAGGTAAGCCTAAGGTGGAATATTTTCAAAGGATGATTCTTTCCTAAATATGTCTTTCGTCCCCCCCCCTTTTTTTTTCTTCTCATGCAAAAAAAGGCATTTGGGCGATTTGCAAAACAAAGTGAGGGAGTTTGAATTCAGAAAGGAACCCACTGGGAACTCTGTAAAGAAGCTCAAAGACTTTAGAATTGGAAATTCTTTTAGAGCAGGGGTGTCAAACTCAATTTCATTGAGGGCCGCATCAGCCTTGCGGTTGCCCTCGGGGGGTGCGGCCGGGGGTGTGCAGCCTACTGGGTGTGTGTGGATGGAGTGGGTGTGGCCTACTGGGTGGGCATGGCCAGCTCTACATCGTTTGCATCAAGGGTGCCTGTGGGGGCCTGGGCAGGAGTGGGACAGATCTGAGGGTCTCTGGCAGAAGGGGATGGGACCGGGGCAAGCACCAAGGTATGGTCCATTTCTTCATTCCTCACAAAGGGTGACACCTCCCCAGCATTCACCCAGGGGGTGGGGCCAATGCGGCAGAGGCTGGTTCCTCGCTGTTTCTAGACGGCCTTGTGGAGCTAAAACTGAATGCGCTTCAGCATGGATGGCCACTACAAAATTGTACATTGGCTCCCAGCTGGCCTGGGCCAGGGCCAAGGCAGCGGGGGCCGTTCCCTCACTGTTTCCAGGATGGCTTCGTGGGCCACATAAAACCACTTCGCAGGCCGCATCCAGCCCCCGGGCCTTGTGTTTGACATGTCTGTTTTAGAGAGTCATTGAGGCCATTTGGAGGTTTGCCTGGATCCTCAGGGTCACCTGAATAGTGCAAATGGGTGTGGAGCCTTTTTGGCTGCAGGATGTTTTCTGCCCTGTTTCTCTTTAGTGTTGAAGACAGGCACAGGCTGTTGGGGATGAGTCTGTGTTGATTGCATCTCAAAGTGAAGCGCAAATGGTTTTTGTAGTCTGCAATGTTTTCTGGAAATCCATTCAGACTCCCGCACCGTTTGAAGGGTGTTCATCTCAGAGTTCATAGCTAAATGTCCATGGAGATTCTCAATCATCCAAGTCATGACCCTGAGGATACAGGTAAATCTCCAAATGGCCTCAACGACTCTAAAAGAATGCCAATGACCAGCTGCCTGCAAGGAATATAAATCCTTCCATTCTCCACCATCCAGTCAGAGCTGAAGAAGCTTCTTGGATGAGAAGCGAAACATCTTCAAAGAAAAACATGGAAGCCCAGTTGCTTCCTGAAAAAGCACCATTAGGACAACCATGACTTGATAACTAGAAATTGCCAGAGACACAGCTCTGAAGGGTAGCACATTTGGAAAATCTCTGTGTTGCAGCCAGCTTCAAGACTTTTTGGATGTTCCCAGCCATTCCCACAGAGCAGTTGCTACACATATCATGACTGTAACTATGCCTGATCATGCTTCTCGTTTCATTCCTCTGAACTCTTCCCTTTCTGGATCCTTGTACAGAAAGACCATGTCATCTCCATGGGCAGGGATGGGCTGCTGATAACATGGAACCTCCAGGGAGTGGAAGAAACTCGGTTCTTGGCCCACCCGAGTCAGACCAACAACTGCACTGGCTTCAGGGATCCATGTAAGAAATTTCTTGGCACTGTTTTGCAAAAATGTGACTCTGTTTTGGAAATCTGGAAGTGGGGAATGTGAAATTCCTGCCTGCATTGTTTACCCTGTAATGCAAATGAATCTTTGGTTGTGTATATCTTTATATCGGGGTTTAATTTTGATGCAGAGGATGCTTCCCGTTTGTGAAAATATACATTAAAATGTACTTTAATTTGGACAGGCCATCTTCTGTTAAGCCCAGAGATAGACACACAGAAACACTACATTTTTTGATCTAGTGGTTTGATCTAGTGCAGTGGTTCTCAACCTGTAGGTCGGGACCCCATTTGGGGTAGAATGACCATTTCATGGGGGTTGCCAAACAACGCAGCCCGCCATTTTTTCCCCCTTTTCCTTAGCTGTGCTACTCCCTTTTATTCTATTGGCTTTTGAAAGCAATAGAATAGACTCTCTTGAATAGAGTCTAATTCTATTGGCTTTCAAAAGCCAATAGGAATTGTCCAGGCTGTCTCTGCCCTACTGAGCCTGCCAAAAGTCCCATTCTGCAAATGGTGCTGCACCAGTTGAGTAGTCCTTGACTTACGACCGGTTGAGTAGTCCTCGACTTACGACCGGTTGGGGGTCGCAGCATTAAAAAGGTTGAGAACCACTGATCTAGTGGTTAATGCACCAGGCTAGAAACAGGAGACTGTGAGTTCTAGTCTTGCTTTAGGACTAGGATACCTGGCAAAGTGACTTTAGGCCAGTCCCACTCTCTCAATCTCACCTGACAGCATTGTCGTTGTAGGGAAAAATAGGAAGAGAAAAGTGTGGTGGATATATTCGCCGCCTTGAGTTATTTGTAAAAATAATAAAGGCAGGATAGAAATAAATAAAAATAACCTTGCAGTGACGTTGAGGCGTTAAAGGAATTAAATAGGACACTTCATTGTATTTAGAGCAATTCATAATATTTGGATGGGCCTTTCCCATTGGTTACCCACTGTAGAGCTGGTATGAAAACCTTTCGTTTTTATCCTCCGCAGGGCAGAAAGACTTTATGCTGGCTGCAGCTGGTGCTGATGGCACTGTGAAAATTTGGAGGCCCTTGACGGTAAGGAAGGAGGGGAATCTTTGTTTTCTTTGTTTAAGAATCCCCAATAAAACAAGCTTTTTATTACTTACTTATTGCACAGCTTTCTCCATTGCCCATTCCTGTGGCATTGGAAGCCTTTTACAAAAACAAGGGGATATGTATAGTAAAATCAGGAGCAAAGCATAGATAACTAAAAGCTACCCACACATCATAAAGCCCAAACACTCAGTGGAAAAATCTGGTTGTAATTTGCAAGAGGCCAGGGAAGCATGTGCTTCCATTATATTTGGCAGCACCAGAAAAGTTAGGTCATCGGAGCTCTCAGCTCACCCTTCCTTGACGTCACATAGGGTGGGGAAACCTTTAGTAATTGCTTGCTGTAAGAATTTGTGGGGTGAGGAGCAAATCTGAGGAGAAGATGGATGTTCTTATAGGTATGAGGAACTTCAGCCAAGTACGACTTGAGGGAGAAACAAACTGGTTACAAATGTAGTAGTTGTAGTCTAGTACAAGATGCTCAATCTTCTATCTCTGCTTAATACTGCACTTTGGACTTCTTGAAGCTTCTGAGTACTATAGTCTTCAAAGGCAGCCCCATGCAGAGCATGCAGCAGTAATCTAGCTAGATGAGTCTTTGTAGTTAAGGTACCCTGTTACAGGTATGTTTCCACAAGAGCATGGTTCTTGTGTCCCTTCCATTAAGGAATGTTATCTTGTGGGGCCCAGGAATTGGGCCTTTTCTGTAGCAGCAACTGCTCTGTGAAACAACATCCCCCAGAGATCCAGATGACCCCAACCCACAAGACATTACAGCAACCTTTCTCAACCTTGGCAGCTGGAAGATGTGTGGACTTCAACTCCCAGAATCCCCCAGTCAATATGCTGGCTGGTGCGTTTAGCGCAGTGATGGTGAACCTTTTAGAGACCGAGTGCCCAAACTGCAACCCAAAACCCACTTATACATTGTTGGGTGCCAGGTGGGTGTGGCCCATTGGCTGGGTGTGGCCCATTGGCTGGGCGTGGCTGCGGTGGTAACGGCAGACTGGATGGGACTAAAAAGTTCAATCAATCAATTCCAACTTTGCAGGATCTTTTTTTTCCCCGTGAGAAGTTGAAATTGACTGATTGATTGAACCTTTTTTTTTTGGTACACAGCAGTGAGGGCCTAAAGCAGGGGTAGGCAACCCAAAACACTCAAAGAGCCACTTGGACCCGTTTCCCACCAAAAACAAAACACCGGGAGCCGCAAAACCCTTTTGATATCTAAAATGAAGATAACACTGCATATATCCTTTTTTACCTTTATTATAAGTGTGTGTGTGTGTGTGTGTGTGCGCGCGCGTGTGTATGTATGTGTGTGTGTACACACACACACACACACACACACACACACTAAAAAAAAGTAAAAATATGACTCTTGGGAATATCCATACTATTAAAACAATGATCACCAAGAGAATGCTTTAAGAGAATAAAATTACATACACACACAGGTTAAAAAAAGGATATATGCAGTGTTATCTTCATTTTAGATGTCAAAAGGATCTCTCTCTCTCTCGTCTCTCTCCCTCCCTCCCTCTCTATCTGCCCTTGGTCTGCCACTCCTCTTCCCCCACTCTCTCTCTCTCTCTCTCTCTCTCTCTCTCTCTCCCTCCCTCCCTCTCTCTTTCTCTCTCTCTCTTTCTCCCCTCCCTCCTATCTGCTGCTCACCTGGCAAGCTTCAAGCTATTGTCCAACAAGATCAGGGGTAAGCAATCTCGTCTCTTTTATGACTCATGGACTTCAACTCCCAGAATTCCTGAGTCAGCCTAGCTGGGCTAGCTAGCTCTCTCCTGCCCTTCCTGCTTCCTGCTTCCTGCAGAGACGCAGCAAAGGGAGGAGCTCCGCCCAGAAAGCTTTTCAGCTCCTCGGAGAACACTGTGAGTACACTCTCTTTTACACATACACATACACAAAAACACAAACACACACGCACACACAGAGAGAGAGAGAGAAGCAGGGAAGCGCAATTGCCTCTCTCTGTCTCTGTCTCTCTCTGCAAAGGCAGAGGAGGCTGGGAGCCACAGGGGAAGGCTCAAAGAGCCGCATGCGGCTCCGGAGCCGCAGGTTGCCGACCTGTGGCCTAAAGCAAAAAGGTTTTATAAAACCCAGCTGAAGGCCTAGGGGTGACGGTGTGCGTGCCCACAGAGAGGGCTCTGAGTGCCACCTGTGGCACCCGTGCCATAGGTTCGCCACCACTGATTTAGGGAGTTGAAGTCCACAAAGTTGCTAAGATTGAGAAACACTGATCCAGAAGATGCTAAATGGAATTTACCTCCCTCAAAGTAAAAATGATAAATAAGTATCAGCATGAGCTGGCTGAGAAATTTTGGGAGTTGAAGTCCACATTTCTTCAAGTAGCCAAGGTTGAAAACATTGCACTTGATGTTGTTCCCTCGGGCATTTGGGTGAGGTTAAGCAAGTGCTCTCTGTTTAACGTTTTCTTGTAAATTGGAATTGTGTTTTTGTGATGTTGGACGTTACGATTTGTATTATTTAAACTATTGTTCTTAACTTTGTATGTTGGCCAGAATTATTGTCATGAGATGGGCAGCCATACACATTTAATAAATAAATCATATTTTCACTGCAACTAAGTTTTTTGTCAGTTTCAGTCCCTTTGAATTCTTGATTGCACAGTACAAATAATAGGATCAATTCTTCCAGGCACTGAAATAAAATTAGGTTACAACTTGAGAGTTGTAACATTGATGCATTAGAAAATATTGGTTGAAATGATGAAGTTTGGTTTTACTGGTTTGGGATTTTTATTGTTGTTGTCAGCTACCCAAAGTTAAGTTACTTGTAACCATATAAATATTTTAAATACAATACATACATAAACATTTATTTATTTCTCCCCATTTTTTCACTCGCATGAGCGTGAACGTGCAAGAGGACAAATTCAATATGGAAATACAGATTCCACATAATGCCTCTCATCCCGTGGTTTTCATTAACGCCTTTCTGGTGATTTGCAGATTGAACAACCTCAAGTCCTGTTTGGACACTCTGCTTCTGTCTGTGCAGCGGCTGCTACCTCATCGTCTTTCCTGACCATCTCCAAAGACAAGACAGCCCGCATATGGGCAGTTCCTAAGAACGATGGTAAGTAGATGGGTCCCGTAAAAGCCTTGCACCCTTTCAAACTCTGTGGATTGAACAAGAACAAAAAACAGAGGCAGAGATGTAGGATGAGGGTGTGAAGCATCACCTGATTACCAGTTGTCCTCAGCTTAACAACATCAGCAATTAACGTAACAACAGTGGCAAAGAAAGGTTGCAAAATAGGAAAAAACCACTGCCATGCTTAGCAACATAATTTGTAGGCTCGATTATGTTCGTAAGCCGAGGACTTCACTTATATTTTTCTTTCCCTTCTCCACAACAGGTGATTCTGAACACCTGCCTCCTCACCAGGGTGTTGTCACAGCTGTGGCTTGGTCACCTGGTGGGAACTTGGCTGCTTCTGGTGGCGAACACGGTGACCTGATTGTCTGGCAAGGAGGAGAGCTTTTGGGGATGGCAAAGGTAGGGCAGGTGTTCTGCACTTGTGTCCTCAAATGTATTTGGAGAACAGCACCTTTTGGGACTTGGGCCAGGAGCTGCAAATGGATTTAAGTGCCTGCTTTCAGTTGATGCCTGTTTTTTTAAAATCAACTTCCAGGTTGGGCCCCAGTGCATCAGTGCTCTCGGCTTCCATTCTTCTCATACAATCCTTGTGGCTTGCGATGGGATCAGCCTTTGGGATATAAGTGACAGTACACAGAATGTCAAGGCAGTTAGGTAAGATTGGGCAAAGCACCATGGGGGTGACTGTCCATCCCTTTCTCTCCTGGATTTGTATGCAGGTCACTGCTTGGAGTCTGTTTAACCCCCCAGAAATAAGACCTCTTTTGGAGGCAACCCCCCCCCCCCCGGGTCTTATTTTCAGGGAAATACGGGTAGTTGATGGTTCTTGTCATTCGTTAAGTCTTTTGAGCCTAACCTTCATTCATCAATTGAGTTTCCACAACACGCCTGAAGACAGGACAAGAAGCAATGGATGGAAACTAATCAAGGAGAGAAGCAACCTAGAACTAAGGAGAAACTTCCTGACAGTTAGAACAATTAACCAGTTAGAACAACCTGCCTCCAGAAGTTGTGAATGCTCCAACACTGGAAGTATTTTAAGAAGAGACTGGACAGCCATTTGTCCAAAATGGTGTAGGGCCGTGGTGGTGAACCTATGGCACGCGTGCCACAGATGGCACTCAGAGCCCTCTCTGTGGGCACGCATGCTGTCATCCCAGTCCTAGGCCTTCAGCTGGGTTTTATAAAACCTTTTCACTTTAGGCCTTCGCCGCCGTGTGCAAAAAAAAAAAAATTCAATCCATCAATCAATTTCAGCTTCTCTCAGGAAAAAAAAAGATCTTGCAAAGTTGGAATTGATTGATTGAACTTTTTGACTGTCCCACCCAATCTGCTGTTACCACCGCAGCCACGCCCACCCAACAGGCCACACCCACCCAATTGGCCACACATAAGTGGGTTTTGGGTTGCAGTTTGGGCACTCAGTCTCTAAAAGGTTCGCCATCACTGGTGTAGGGTTTCCTGCCTGAGCAGGGGGTTGGACTCGATGACCTCCAAGGTCCCTTCCAACTTTATTATTATTATTATTACTACTACTACTACTACTACTACTATTTGTCTTTTCCTTCTTGCTTAGCTTGACGTGTAGGAGAAAACTATGGCAAACCAAAGGAGTCTCTGTGTTGTGTATGGGGACGCTCCCCTCTCTGGGCACTTCGGTTTGTGGGCTGAGTGATGGACACTTGTTGATCCTTCAGCCTGGAGACGAGAGTTTCCAGAAGGTCACGTGAGTAAGATATCCATGGATGGTGATGAGATGGAAGAAGGGTTTTTTTCCCCCCCTGACTCTATCTAATTGTGACTTTCTCCCTGCAGAGATATGTTTTCACGTTGTTACTATGATCATAGTGCTTTTAATATATCCCCATCTGATGAAGAACGGGAGGAGGTCTTACATGTGTGGCACACCATGGAGAAACCAGGCTTGATGAAGATGGTGAGCCAGATTTGACCAAATGAAAGTCCTTCCAAAGACTGAATCCTCACACACCACGTTAGCCAGAGAACTATGGCTCCTTTATGACTTGTGGACTTTAACTCCCAGAATTCCTGAGCCAGCACGGCTCAGCTTGGAAACCTCTCCCTTTCCCCTCAGCATGGCTGGCTCAGGAATTCTGGGAGTTGAAGTCCACAAGCCATAAAAGGGGCATCGTTCCTCACCCCTGTGCTATAAGCCATTGTTTGATTTATTTGGATTTGGATCAAAATGTTGTAGAAACCCAGTGGTTGACCCTTGTGAGCTTAACACATTGTGTGAATTGATTAGAGCAGTGGTTCTCAACCTTTTTAATGCCGCGACCCCCAACCGGTCATAAGTCGAGGACTACTCAACCGGTCGTAAGTCGAGGACTACTCAACTGGTGCAGCACCGTTTGCAGAATGGGACTTTTGGCGGGCTCAGCAGGCAGAGACAGCCTGGACAATTCCTATTGGCTTTTGAAAGCCAATAGAATTAGACTCTATTCAAGAGAGTCTATTCTATTGGCTTTCAAAAGCCAATAGAATAAAAGGGAGTAGCACAGCTAAGGAAAAGGGGGAAAAAATGGCGGACTGCGTTGTTTGGTGACCCCCGTGAAATGGTTGTTCGACCCCAAATGGGGTCCCGACCCACAGGTTGAGAACCACTGGATTAGAGGTTGGGAGGTGCTTCAAGCCCACAGATTTGGGAAATAAAAGGTACTCACAGAACCTTTTCTCAAATCAGCAAGCTGACTTATCTCCTTTCTCCAACAAATGAAATTGATTTCTGGAAAAAAAATCTCTTCGGGATGTCCAGTAAAGAGACAAAAAGGAATCTTTTGTTGAATCAACGCCATTTTAATATCGCAGGATATTCAACAGCCTTAAAGTTTCTCAGCCTCACTTTTTTTCAGTGCTGTTGTAAATTTGAATGGCCATTAAACAAATAGTTTTTAACTTGAGGACTATCAGTAGTACTTTGTTAGGATTTAATTAAGAGGAGTTTCATCCGCCGTTAACCTGAGTGAATTTTCAGGGTCTGAAATGGTCTCTCTCACCTGTGTTTTGTTTTGTGATGCTTCCCCCCCCCCCAGAAATTGGGTGAGAATAAAAAGGCCAGATTCATTAAATACGTCAAATGGACACCGAACAAGCCTTCAAGCTTTGTCACCGTTGCCAGACTGGTCAAAGGTGAGGCTATGCTGGTTTCTATTTCCGCTCAAGATTCTTTGAAAGAAAATTCATGTCCAATTTCTGTGCTTATGGTAGAAGTATAATAGATATTTCTAGCCTCCAGGGCAGAGAGCGTGGAGCTATGTATTTGTTATTTCTTTTAAGAAAAATTCACCGGGGTCAGTGTTGAACCGAACAATTACAAATGTAAAACCTGTGGTAGGTGGGTTTTCTTTGGATTCAATAGTGCAGGGGTGTCAAAGTCAATTTCATTGAGGGCTGCATCAGCATTGTGGTTGCCCTCAGGGGACTGGGTGGGTGTCGCCAGGGAGGGTGCGACCTACTGGGTGGGCGTGGATGGAGTGGGTGTGGCCGGGGTAGGAGTGGGATCTGAGGGTCTCTGGCAGAAGGGGGTGGGACCAGGGCAAGAGCCAAGGCATGGTCCACTGGAGGAGTCTCATTGCTCCTCTCAGGCCATGCGGGGCGGGGGGGGGGCTTATGGAGCTAAGACTGAATGCGCTTCAGCATGGATGGCCACTACAAAATTGTACATTGGCTCCCGGCTGGCCTGGGCCAGGGCCAAGGCAGTGGGGGCCGTTCCCTCACTGTTTCCAGGATGGCTTCGTGGGTCACATGAAACCACTTCGCGGGCCGCATCCGGCCTTCGGGCCTTGTGTTTGACATGTCTGCAATAGTAGGTTGGTTAATTTCATAAGATCCAATAATATGTTTGGCAAAGAGAATCTGGCATGGACCTCAGAGAAAAGGGTCCCTGATTTGTAAAGGGATGTGAGACAGCGAGGTACACAAAGGGATGATAGACCACTGGGTAGAAGGTCATTTTAAATACTGCTTTTCCCCTTTTTTTTGGAAGACAAATTACTATTATATGGCGACTCGGAGGGATTTCTCTGGAGTCAGACTCCGCAAATAGAGGAGGAAGAGGAGGAGGAGGAACAGGAGACAGAGGATGAGGATGAAGAAAAAGAAGAGGAGGCAAAGGAGGAGGAAGTAGAGAAGGAAGAGGACGCGGAGGAGGAAGTGGAGAAAGAAGAGGAAGAGGAAGACGCATCTAAGGACTGGCACAAGAGGAAGGTGAGACAGGTTCAGAAAAATGGATGCCCAACTCTCCTTGGTTATGCCACGTGAGCAAGAATTGATGTCATGTCAGCTCAGTCAACTGATTGGCAACACCACTGCTCCCATTTGCTGACTCCCTTGCCATGACACTGGAGGGAATGATTACTTCCAGGGCAGATTCAAAGTCCGTTCTCCTTCACATAGAGATACCAGTTACTGGATCCAATTTGGGTCAGTCACCAGGATCAGAGCTTTAGTCTTCTGAGCTTTTGGACTCGTGCAGGAACCCATGCTCAGGAAACTTCTCTCTCACCAGAATGTGTGCTATTGAGCTGTTCAATGTGTAGTACTTATGTGATGCCTAGATGTGTGTGGATTTTTAATGGTTGATTGGGGTGTTGAAGACCGGTTATTAAGATGTTGGCTGTGGTTTCCTTGTGCTGTCAAGTCCTTGGCTCCTGAATATCTGATAAGCTGGTGGTAAATCAGCACCCTTGTTGACTGACAAGGGCTCTGTTTTCCAGGCTTCAATCATTTCTCTGGCTATTTTTATACCTGCTTGGCCAACAATCTGAGTAGCTGCAAAATTGAATGTATGTCCTTGTTCTTTGCAATGTGAGGCTACCAATGAGTTTGGGTCTCTTCATCTGATCACTCACTTGCAATCTGATGGTTAGTGTCCTCCCTGTCTGTCCTATGTAGTCCCAGGGCAATCCACGCAAGGGATCCTGCCAATTACTATTGTTCAACTAGGCCTGATGCAACTGCTAAAATTTACTCCAGCTTATCTTCTTTCCTCCTTAGATCCATTGTGACAAAATTACAGCTTTACATCTGATGGGAGACAGGATTATAACTGCCTCCTGCGACCAGGATGTGAAGATTTGGGATGGCAGCACAATGAAGCTGGTGAGTGACTCTGAAGATGCTGGGCTGAAATTGGGCAGATGTCATCATTGGTCTCACTTTGTTCTCCCTCAATGCAAGTTTCATTTCCCCAACTGTCTTTTCCCACATGCCAAATGCACTCGAAACACATTTGATGGTCAGAATGGCTAGAGTTAATCTAGAGATCTCTGCTTCTTACATAATTTATTTATACAAAAATTCTATCTGCCAATAATACTGGTTTTAGGACCAAGACTTGGATCAACTATTTACTGTATATATTTCTAGTTAGACAGGGAAACAAACCCTGCTACCCTCTTTAGCTAAACTCTATAGAGAAGTGTTTCTCTACCTCAACGACGTTACGATTTGTGGACTTCAAGTCTCAGAATTCCTCAGCCAGCATGCTGGCTGGAGAATTCTGGGAGTTGGAAGTCCACACATTTTTTTTTTACAAATTTTATTTATAATACAGTTAAAAAGAAACAAACATTGGATTTAACGTGACATTCCAGTATATACATTCTTATCAGATTATTCCACTTTTTACAATCAATTCTTCATCTCTACATATACACCTAAGTTTTATATACAATACTTATTCTAAAATAACATATATTTCTATCTTAACATTCATCTTTAATCCCAACCGTCCTCTTCGAATTCCTCCAGCGGTAAAATTTATCCCAGGTTTCATAATAAACTGATCCACATTTAATATCATTGTGAGCCTGTCCATTTCCGCATATGCTGATATTTTATGTATTAACTCTTCCTCTGTGGGAATTTCCTTGCTCTTCCATTTTTGCGCAAAAGCAAGCCTAGCTGCAGTCAGGATGTGTAGCAGCAGGTAGATTGTTCCCTTGTCGTATTTTTCTGTCATTATTCCCAACAAGTTCAGGTTTTAACTCTAAGTCCAGTGTTAATAGATCCCTCAACCAGTTTCGTGTCCTGTTCCAATAGGAAGTCCACATATCTTAAAATTGCTGAGGTTGAGAAACACTGCCATAGAGCGTATAAAAACATTGTGAGACTTTTTCTCATCATAAGTAGAGTCTCACTCTCTCTCTCCCAAAGTTGCAAGCTAATTCAATGTTTTGCATTCTTTTGCTGATGTCTCTTTTCTGCTATACCCCCCCCCACCCCCGTCTTGGTTACAGATTGGCCAATTCCGATGCCGGGCTCCAGTTTCCTGTCTCCAGCCCTGCCCTCGCAAGGACTCTTCTGTCTTCCTAATGGTGGGAGATACTCTGGGCAGTGTTTACTTTCTGGATTGGGACTGCCTTCGTGTGTGAAGAGCTTTCAAATGCCACTTCAAGCCTCTTCTGACCTGTTCAGATGACCCTTTTGTTTCTTGTGACCTCAAAATGGTTCCTGGGTTGCAATTGGTGGCAGCTTAATAACCACGAGACTTTAGATTGAGCCTTACAATCAGGAGAAATAAAAATTCCAAACTCCACTTGATCATAGCGGAGCCAGGATTGAATATAATTACCCCATGGTGTACACGGGAATACCTAAATTGATATAGAATTTAAAGAGATTTTTCATGTAAGATTTAAATTGAATTAAAATTAATTTCCTTTCGCTGTATGTAGTGAGTCTTTAGTATTTTTTTCTTTACTTTAGTATGTTTTTTCTTTACTTTAGTATGTTTTTTTTTTAGCCCCATCTCTCAGCCCAAGCCACCATTTATACTTTTTCTCGCCGAGTATTTGTGAGAGCATTAAGAAAATCCTATTATTGGGTTATATATTACAGAAGAAACTAGATATTATATTAAAACAGACCTGGAATTTAAATTTGCTCACTGTCAACTTACAGTAAGCCCTCAAATTATGGCTACAATTAGGACCAGAATTTCCATTGCTAACCAAAGTGGTGAAGTGAGATTTGTCTGATTTCATAAACCTTTTTTTAACTGTGGTTTTATGTAAATCAGTGCAGTTAAATTAATCACTTGGTGATTAATCTGGCTTCTCCCATTGATTTTGCCTGGGAAGATCGCAGACCATCACATCACCACATGACCCTGGGAGGCCGCAACCATCATAACTACATACTGGTTGCCAAACCCCTGAGCTTTGATCATTTTGACTGTGGGGATGCTGTGATGGTTGTGTGAGGGACGGCAATAAGTCATTTTCAGTGTTGTAACTTTGAACAGTCACAAAACGAATTGTAAGCCGAGGACGATCTGCTGCATTCCATCTCCCTTAATAGCCTCTGAGGAGTTATTCAGCTGTTTACTGTCCATATCCAGAAGCTCTAAATTAAGAGTTTCATCTGGACTTTCTTAAACCTGGCATTTTTGCCTGGTTTCTAATGACACCTCTATGGATCTCTTTGAAGGAATGATAGGGTTCAAATGCACTGCAAATAATACATCTAGTATTTGGACTTCTTGCCCGCAGATGAAAGATAAGTCATAGCTAAGAGTAATTTTGAGGTACATTCACCATTCTGTGCATGAACATATGATCTGGGCCCAGAATAAAATGGATCTTGGTTTGGGCAGAAGTGACTGGGTGACAAAACCAAGGACATCAGCAGTGGGGAAGAAGGGAGGAAACACTCCTGAATTGATGGTCTGTGCTGCAGATTTTGTTTAATCCAGAACCCAGAAAGTCCAAAGCATTCTGAGGTTACGTTCTGCAGAGCTGTGGCTGATTGTCTGTGGAGATTCTCAGTCATCCAGGTCATGGTTGTTCCATGCCTGTTTTTCAAAAGGCAACTGGACTTTGTTTTTCCATGAAGACATTTCACTTCTCATCCAAGAAGCTTCTTCAGTTCTGACAGAATGGTGGGCGATGGAAGGATTTATATTCCTTGCAGTAAATCCTTCCATCCTCTACCATTCCGTCAGAACTGAAGAAGCTTCTTGGATGAGAAGAGAAATGTCTACAAGTTGTCTCCAATTGTCTTTTGACAAAAGCATCTCTGGGACAACTATGGCTGACCTAAAACAATTTGACTCATCCTCCTGAAGATTCGAAACATTTTATGCACCTGCATGGTGAATATTTGGTCTACTAGAGCAAGGCTTTTCAACCAGTGGTACGGGTACTACCTGTGGTACATTGGCACCTGACAGGTGGTACGCAACCATCCTAGAAAAGTAGCGGGAGAGGGGAATGAGCTGAACTGGTGGCAGCACCGCACAAGCCTGAGCGAGAGATGGCTAGGGCTATCAGGGCTCAGCGGAAGCTCCAGGATCAGCACTTCTTTGGGTCTGTCAGGGCTCAGCAGAAGCGCCAGGATCAGCACCAGGCTCCAGCTGGAGCTCGGCGCTGATCCTGGTGCTTCTGCTGAGCCCAGAAGAAGCGCCGATCAGCTGGAATGTTGCAGCATCTCCAGGGTCCTGTGATTTACATTCAGATGCTTGGCAACTGATTCATATTTATGACGGTCACAGTGTCCCAGGGTCATGTGAAGTGACCAAAACCTGCTGCAACCACCCAGCAGACGGGGGGAATAAAAACCAAACACCCCCCACCCACCCCTGCTGCCAATCCTCAACAGAAATGCTCACAACAATGAAAACCTCAGACAGGAGGAAGAGCGCGGCTGGGTGGGCAGGCAGGTGTCTTGCTTGGCTGTGCCTTGGGGGGGGGCACTTTTTCAGTGCCATTGTAACTTCGAGCAGTCACTAAGTGAACTGTTGTAAGTCGAGGACTACCTGTACTCTTTCCTTTTTTTTTTGTCATCAAGTTTTTGACACCTTGCTGGTGGTACTCGGATGTTGCCACATCCTAAAAGTGGTACAATGGGTGAAAAGATTGAAAAGCCTTGTACTAGAGATGGAAGGACTATGCTACTGTATATAAAAATAAAAATTATACTAATTGAAAGATACAAAGAAATGTTATTTTCCTCCATCCAAGTCCCCAAATCACTAACATACACCAAAGAACAGAGTGAATATATTCCTTTATTTAAAAAAAAAAAATCAAGCAATTGGTGTGTTTCTACTGGAACTAATTTTCAGATCATCCAAGAAAAAAATAATGACCACCTGGAAATCCTAAGGATTAGCTTTCCTTCATAACATAGTTTTTGTCATTCAGGAGCAAACTTCAGAGCAGAAAAGTAAACTAAAACACGGCAAAAGTCTTCTAACCCGTGACAGAGTCAGTTTCAGGTGTTGAGCTCTCAGCCTGTCAGCTAGAAAGCACTTGACATGTCCCATTGAAAGAGAACCATCCACGTGCTTCAAGATGTCACTCTTATGCCAGTTTTTCTCTCCATTTTTTCCCCCCGTTCACCAAAGCTGTACAAAATTGAAGCGCACCTTCAGAAGGTATTTCATACGCACCTGGCAGGGGTCATAGACAATGAATTCGTTGTAATTCAGGGTATAGCCACGAGAGTTTGCTATCCCAGTTTCTACAGCTGGGCCCAGGGGAACAATTGCACCATGCCTGGGCAGGAAGGAAAGAGACAAGGCCACTGTGTTGAGTCCTGCAGATCCTGCCACAGTTCCATCCGTCAATTCCCAAGGTTTTAAAAGGAGAAAACCCTAATTTTGTATAATTAAAGCTAAGCTGCTCCGTGCCAATGGCTAGTGTAAAGACATTCAACCGTAAACCAAACTAGACTGTTGTTTCTCTGTGTCATATTTGTGGGTATGTGCATAATTCTGTATTTATTTATTTTTGTCATATGTAGTGTATATTGGAGGTGGTGACCCTTTGAGAGCTGTATGCAATGAAATTTCATTTTAATGTATGCTGATTAGTGTACATTCAAAGTGACAATAAAGTTGTTATTCTCTTCTCTTCTCTTCTCTTCTCTACTCTACTCCTATTCCTATTCCATTTCCGGTCCCAGTCTCCTATCCTATCCTATCCTATCCTATCCTATCCTATCCTATCCTATCCTATTTGAATATCAAGACTGAAAATTAAGTATTTTTTTGTGTATCTTTGCATGCTGGCTTTCTTTTTCTTCTTTGTTCAACCACAGTGACTTTTAAAAATTGTAAAAGAGGTTCAAGTCCCACAAAGCTACAGAATCAATATGAAATGTGATAAGTTTTATCTAGCCCAGTGTTCTCAACCTGTGGGTCGGGATCGCATTTGGGGTCGAACGACCATTTCACGGGGGTCGCCAAACAAGGCTGTCCGCCATTTTTTCCCCCTTTTCTTTGGCCACGCCCCTGGCACCCGGTGATGTATAAGTGGTTGGGGGTCACCACAACATGGGGAACTGTATTATGGGGTTGCGGCATTAGAAAGGTTGAGAACCACTGATCTAGTGGTTAGAGCACCAAGTTAGATACTAGGTGAGGGTAAGTTCATGAATGCCGGCTGGGTGACTTTGGGCCAATCACACAACTCTCAACCCAACTGACCTCACAGGGTTGTTGAGGAAAATCGCAGAAAAAAGGAGTACTGGGTACATACGTAGCCTTGGGTTATTTAATAATAATAATGACGATGATGTCAGAGAGAGTGTGGAAGAAACTTGTGTCCCGGACAGGTAGTCCTCGACCTACAACAATTGAGCCCAAAATTTATGTTGCCAAGTGTGACCTTTGTTAAGTGAGTTTTGCTCTATTTTACAACCATTCTTGTGACAGCTGCTAAGTGAATCACTGCAGTTGTCAAGTTAGTTACACGGCTTTAAGTGAACCTGGATTCCCCACTGACTTTGCTTCTCAGGTCGCAAAAAGGGGGTTGCATGATCCCGGGACACTGCAATCGTCGTAAATAGGAGCCAGTTGCCAAGCATCTGAATTTTGATCACGTGACCCACAGGGATGCTGCAATGGTCATAAGTGTGAAAAACAATCACAAGTCACCTGTTTTAGTTCTGTTGTAACTTTGAGCGGTCAGTAAATGAAACGCAAGTCAAGGACTACCTGTATTTCACTATACCAGGGGTGGGGAACCTTGGCTCTTTTATGACTCGGGGACTTCAACTCCCAGAATTCCTGAGCCATCCATGCTGAGGGGAAAAGGAGAGGTTTCCAAGGTGAGCCATGCTGGCTCAGGAATTCTGGGAGTTGAAGTCCACGAGTCATAAAAGAGCCAAGGCTGCCTACCCCTGCACTATACCCTCTTTTAAAAACCAGATTTCAGCATTTTTTTCCCTCCCCTCTAATTCAGTGTTTCTCTACCTTAGGAACTTTAAGACACGTGGACCCCACTACTCAAAAGTCCAGAATTCTGGGAGTTAAAAGTCCACTTTCTTAAAGTTGTCAAGGTTGAGAAACACGGCTTCAGCTCTCTCCTTGATTGCTTAAATCAGGGGTCCTCAAACTTGGCCACTTTAAGACTTGTGGACTTCAACTCCCAGAATTCCCCAGCCAGTCATGCTGGCTGGGGAATTCTGGAAGTTGAAATCCACAAGTCTTAAAGTGGCCAAGTTTTGAGGACCCCTGGCTTAAATCATGCTCCCCCATAGTGGCACCAGTCAGATTGCGCTGGCTAAATGTTGTGGGTGTGTCATAGCCATCTTCCCAGTTAGGGGAAACTGAGTTAAGTAGTAATTTTTCATCCCAACTGCTCCCTTCCCATCATCCCCAAACTCACAGAGAAACACAATTGGCTGGAGCAAGCTTGCCTAAGCCTTTGGTACTGTGTTTGCTGGCGGGCAGACGTTCTGCTTCTGGATCGGCCTCCAACAGTTCATTGCACTCCCCTAGGGCAACCTGTAAGCAATACAAAACTTAAGTGCTGTCTCACCTGTATTGCATAGATCAGGGGTGTCAAACTGCTGTCCTGCAGGTCAGCTGCGTCACACTGAAACTCACCCCATTGCCGGCAATGGGGAAAAAGTCGTGATATGTTGCGACATGTCATGTGACATTGCGAGTTTGACACCCCTGGCATAGATGCTGTTTAATAGACAAAGAAAGAAGGGGATTACAGTTGAGATGCTGGCCAAAAAAAAAAAAAAAACCAAACAAACCAGGAAACCAGAGAGTCAGGTTACATCTAGGTGCAAACCTACAGAATAATAGAGTTGGAGGTCTTCTAGTCCAACCTCCTGCATTAAAAATATATATAAATGTACCCTGATTATGAACTTAACTCCCAGTACAAAGAATTAGGCAAGTAGAATGATGTAACTAGATTAGAAATAGCAGAATAACAGTTTTAAGGGACCTTGGAGGTCTTCTAGTCCAACCTGCTCAAGCAGGAAACCTTGTACCATTTCAAACAAATGGTTGTCCAATCTCTTCTTAAACATCTCCAGTGATGGAGCACCCACAACTTCTGGAAGCAACTTTGTTTCACTGATTAATTGTTCTAATTGTCAGGAAATTTCTCATTATTGGGTTGGTTCTCTCCTTGATTACTTTTCATCCACTGCTTCTTGTCCTGCCTTCAGGCGCTTTGGAGAATACGTTTGACCTCCTTTTCTTTGTGGCAGCCCTTTAGATATCAGAACACTGCTATCATGTCAATCCTTCTCCTCCTCTTTATTAAACTAGACCAGGGGTCTGCAACCTTAAACACTCAAAGAGCCACTTGGACCCATTTCCCAGAGAAAAGAAAACACTGGGAGCCACAAAACTTGCGCGCCTACGCGCATCCAAGGGGTAGGGAGCTTGATTAAAGAGTTTAATTAAAAAGAAATGGAGACTGCTGTGCATGAGTGCTCTCTCTCTTTCTCTCCCTCTCTCTCTTTCTCTCTCTCTCTCTCTTTCTCTCCCCCCCCTCCGATCTTCTACCCACCTGGTAAGCTGGCTTCAGGCTGTTCTCCAACAAGCTGACACTATTATTCAGCTGGCTCTCTCCTGCCCTTCCTGCTTCCTGCAGAGATGCAGCAAAGAGAAGAGCCCTGACCAATAAGCTTGTCAGCTCATCAGAGAACGTGAGGCCACTTTTTTACACACACACACACACACACACACACACACACACACACACGGGGGGAGAGAGAGAGAGAGAAAGAGAGAGAGAAGGGAAGCACAAGTGCTTTTCTCTGTCTCTGCAAATGGCAGAGGAGGCTGGGAGCCACAGGGGAAGGCTCAAAGAGCCACATGTGGCTCCAGATCTGCAGGTTGCCGACCCGTGAACTAGACATATCCAATTTCTGCAACCCTTTTTCATATATTTTAGCCTCCCACCAAGATATCATCTCACCTCTGACAGCAGGAGGAGGCCGATGTCTTTCTCGCGAGTGGCAAAACAGTAATTGGCACTCTTAGAGGACATGTCCGCGAAGTAAATGCCTTTTCCAAACTGGGGGAAGAGACAGAACAGGAAAAGACCTCAGGCCTGATTGCTCCCCGAGTTGAATGAATCCTGGGTTCAGCGCAGCCTAAAGTAGATGCTCACCATATAGCCCGTGATGGGTGCTTCTGGTGGTGCCACACGCAATCCCTGGCTCAAAATCCCCGCCCAGTTCCCCAGGCGAGATCCATGCCACAGCAGCATCCTGAGAAGGGAAAGGAGGATGAAAGACGCAATTCGGAATGTAGCCCAAGGACAGGTTGAATTTTACCCCCCCCCCCCTTCGGCTCCTTTCTTTACCTGTTGGACAGGTCAAAACGGAAAGTGGCTTCTGAGCTTTTCTTGTTCACTTCAAAGGCCTCGACCAGAGTCATTGTGTAATCCTTGTGGGTGGGAGCATGGGTGGAGAGCAAGTAGCGCTCCAGTACCTGAAGAAGGATATGAAAGCAAGCTGAGATATAACCATCAGAATGGCTCCATCTAGGTCAGTGGCCCCCAACCTTTTGGGAATTAGGGACCGGTTCTGTGGAAGTTTTTCCGTGGACCACAGGGGATGTGGTTTTGTGTGCTGCCTACATCCCATAGATGGGGCTTCGCTTGTTTGTGTGACCGGATTGCTAGTGTGTCACAGATTGGGGGTTGGGGATCCCTGATCTAGGTTCTTCCTAGACTCGTTTGAGCTGTGGTGCTGGAAAAGGCTCCTGCGTATTCCTTGGATGGAAAAGGTGACCAACAAGCAAGTACCAGAGCCCGTTACGCCAGACATATCAATAGAAAGCCAACTCATGAAACTGTGTCTTACTTGCTTTTGGCTAGGGGGAATTCAGGGTAATTCACTGGAGAAAGCAATTATGTTTGGAAGTGTTAGCGGTACAAGGAAACCAGGCCATCACAGAACACAATGGCTGGACACCATAAAGATTGACACCAGACCAAGCATAGAAAAACTCAAAGTAGTGCAAGATCGGAAGATGTAGAGAAACCTGGTCCATAGAATCGCCCAGAGCTGGACTCAACTGAATGGAAAACATCATAATCACTATCATCACCATCATGTTCTTCCTTTCCTAGCTTATTCAGCTGCACACCTGGAAAACATCGCTGGCCTTTTCTAAGGGCTGGAGCTCACAGTCGAGACTCCTGTAGCTCCGGTCCAAAGGATGCTCCAGATCCAACTGTTCTGACTGCACATGTTTGATGCCAATACGGATCTCACTGAGAGCCTAGAAAATCAGCAGAGAGCAGTCATCACCAAGTGTAGGATTTTATAGGGCAACAACCATCTCAGAAGGAGCCCCCACTGGAGTAGATATCTGGATGGCTGCCTTCTGGATGTGGTGAGAACTGGAGTCCAAAATACACGGGAGTTTGTCAAGTTGGGAAAAGCTCGGTGGAAAGTTACGACTGTAATTGCAAGGCTCAATTACTGTCATAATTTGAGGACTATCTGTAATCCCATCTGCCTGAAAGGATATAAGCTTTGAAACTCTTACCATGTAAAGCAGGGGTGGGGAACTATGGTCCTTTTATGATTTGTGGACTTCAACGCCCAGAATTCCTGAGCCAGCCATGCTGGTTCAGGAATTCTGGGAGTTGAAGTCCACAGGTCATGAAAGGGCCATAGTTCCTCACCCGATATAAAGAAATTTAGAGATCACCTTGGTATGGAAGAACCTTTAAGAAGGGACTTAGAGAAGCAACTGTAATTCAGAACTTGAAGCAAGCATGATAAAGAAACTCAAGCCCTCCTTGTTTTTATTACCATAGGAAGGGATAAAAACTTGAAAAGATTTTCAGGCTTCTTATTATCCCATACTGTTATAAAACAGCACTACTGGTATCCTTTAGCACCTCTCTCTTGGCTAGTCTATCTTGAAAAGCTGACATATACCCCTCAACCTCATTTTCAAGTTCCGCACAGAAGCTGAAGAACTATTTATTCCCTTGATCTTAATAGTCAGACCGTCCACAACACTAATCTTTTCCCCTTAAACAATCGTGACTTTTCTTACCTCCAGTAGCTGTGCCTTTTCTTGGAGTTCCTTTAATGTCTTTATTAGTGGAGGTGTTTTCAGCCTGAAAAGGGGAGGGAGAATGAGAGCAACACTTTTTTTAAAACAAACAAACATTGCATTAAAAAGATGAATTGCCGATCGCTGAAAGTCGGAGGTGTCCGCCCACCAAAAACTTGGGAAGTAGCAACCTTCTCATAAGCACTCTTTACAAAACACTCTTCTTTGATCAGGGATGCATGTGGCTTGTTTTCCAGCATTTGATTGGACCATTGGCAAGATGTAAATGGCTATGGGAATAACCTTGGGAGACAGGAGAAAGAGCCGTAACCAGGGCAACAGTCAGAGAAGAGATATCTCAGCCCACTGAAGGTATAAGGGCGGAGAAAGCCACACAGAAGAGACCCTACTTAGATTCTCTGGGGGGGGGGGGGAAATGCTTACAAGATCTGTCGCTGTAACTTTAGAGTAAAGGCCCTATTACTACTCATGGCTTTGGTTTTGTGTCTGGGCTACTTCCGAAACACTGCAAAAAAAAAAAAAAAAAAGGTTGCACTATTACAGTGTTTCTCAACCTTGACAATTTTAAGGCATGTGGACTTCAACTCCCAGAATTCTGGGAGTTGAAGTCCACATGCCTTAAAATTGTCAAGGTTGAGAAACACTGCACTATTAGGTCAGTCACTTTATGATCACCACAATTTACAACTTTAATGGGCAGATTCCATTACAGTCGTAAGTTGAGGATGATCCATATAGAAAAGTATGAGAATATCATCTTTCCCCCAAAATAACACCCGGTTTTATATTATTTTTTGCTCCAAAAGACACATTAGGGCTTATTTTCCAGTTAGGGCTTATTTTAGGGGAAATACGGTACTAAATGCGTCCATCTGGCTGACAATCGTAACTGGGGCTTATTTTTGGGGTGGGGCTTATATAACGAGCATCCTGAAAAATCATGCTAGGGCTTATTTTCTGGCTGGCTCTTATTTTCGGAGAAACACAGTAGTGCCAAAGGAGACTGTTTTTTTTTTTTCCCCTCTCCTGGACAACTTACAACTCAAAGAAGGGAAATCAGCACTACTAACCCAAAATCATGGGGGATCCGTGTGTAGAATTCATTGCAAGCTTCCAGCAGGGCAGCACCAGTCTGACTCCGCTTCAGACACGCTTCCACTTTCTGTAATGACCGGTAGCCTGCCTGGATCTGCTCAGCGGTCAGCTTTCCTATAGCAGAAGATTTTTTAAAAAATCTTAAAAAAACTAATTAAAGAGAGAAGCAACCTAGAACTAAGGAGCAATTTCCTGACACTTAGAACAATGAACCAGTGGAACAACCTGCCTCCACAAGCGGTGAATGCTCCAACACTGGAAGTCTTTAAGAAGAGACTGGACAGCCATTTGTCTGAAGTGGTATAGGGTTTCCTGCCTGAGTGGGGGTTTGGACTAGATGACCTCCAAGGTCCCTTCCAACTTTATTATTATTACTAGGCCACTTTAGCTGACTGTGTTCAGCAGGTCAGCGATTCAAATCTCACCGGCTCAAGGTTGACTCAGCCTTCCATCCTTCCGGGGTAGGTAAAATGAGGACCCAGATTGTTGGGGGCAATGTAAATATATATATATATATATATATATATATATATATATATATATATATATATATATATATATATATACATTGCTTACTGGTGTACACCGCTTAGAGACTGCTTGCACTTAAAGCGGTATATAAGTCTCATAAATAAATAAATAAATAAATAAATAAGTGAGGCAGGCAGTTTAAACTTTACAAAAATCTACACATGGAATGTCAGGCGTAAAGGATCAGGACCGTACATTAAGTTGCAGCACGTAAGATTTATTCAAGCCTATGCATATGAATCCAGTCAACTAATGGTCAGCACTAAATTGGTGCTAGGTTTAAGAGTCAATAGAATTCAAGGGGGACTTGACTTGGGTTGTTTGTGACAATGTAAGGACTCTAAGCTGATGACACACTTAACTCCACCACCTAGATCTACCTGCTGTTCTACGTGGAGTTATGGTGCAGGACTTTCCGTGATATCTCTGCTGATGCTCACTCAAATACCCTGGTTAATCACTAATTGTCAAAAACACTCAGCCATGATCCTCTCAATAGAAGGCTTTAGTCATTTCCTGAGCCTACATTGTGAGTTAGTTGTACTCCACAATTTATTATCAGCTTGTGGCTGACTCTTGCAAATGTAGGTAGACCTCGCCTTACCACACCACAACTGAGCCCAAAATTTCTGATGCTGAACAAGGCAGCTGTTAAAGTGAGTTTTGTCCTAAGCGTGCTTTTTCACGAGGCAACTGGACTTTGTTTTTTCTTTGAAGACGTTTCGCTTCTCATCGAAGAAGCTTTTTCAGCTCTGACTAGATCAGGGGTAGGCAACCTTGGTTCTTTTATGAATCATGGATTTCAACTCCCAGACTTCAACTCCTGAGCATGGCTGGCTCAGGAATTCTGGGAGTTGAAGTCCATGAGTCATAAAAGAGTCAAGCTTGCCTACCCCTGGACTAGATGGTGGGGAATGGAAGGATTTATATTTTTTGCAGGCAGCTGGTCGTTTGCATTCTTTTAGAGTCGTTGAGGCCACTTGGAGACTTGTCTGTGTCCTCAGGGTCACCTGAGAAGTGCAAATGTATGTGGAACAGAAAACATCCTGCAGCCAAGAAGGCTCCACACACATTTGCACTACTCAGGTGACCCTGAGGACACAGACAAGCCTTCAAGTGGCCTCAATGACATGGCTGCAGGATGTTTTCTGCCCTGGGTCCCTTCGCTGCTGAAGACAGGCACAGGCTGTTGGGGATGAGTCTGTGTTGTCTGCCTCTCAAACTGAAGTGCAAATGGTTCCTGTAGTCAGCAACGTTTTCTGGAAATCTGTTCAAACTCTCGCACCATTCGAAGGGTGTTCATCCCAAAGTGCATCACTAAATGCCTATTGAGTTTCTCAAATCATCCAGGTCATGGTTGGTCCCAGAGGTGCTTTTTAAGAGGCAACTGGACTTTCTTGTTTTTCTTTGATACAAATCTTTCCATTCCCCACCATCCAGTCACAGCTGAAGAAGCTTCTTGGATGAGAAGCGAAACATCTTCAAAGAAAAACGAAGTAAGTCCAGTTACCTCCTGAAAAAGCACCTTTGGGACAACCATGGCCTGGATGACTGAGAACCTCCATAGAGTTTTGCCCTGTTTTACAACCTCTTTTTGCCACAGTTGTTAAGCAAATCACTGCAGTTTAAGGAAATCCTCTGATCATTAAGAGAATCTAGTTTCCGAATTGACTTTGCTTGTTGGAATCCAATCCAACAACACAACTGTCATAAATACATTCCAGATGGTGCCAAGTGCCCAAATTTTGATCACCTGACCTTAGGGCAGACATGTCAAACACAAGGCCCGGGGGCCGGATGTGGCCCGCAAAGTGGTTTCATGTGGCCTGCGAAGCCATCCTGGAAACAGTGAGGGAACGGTCCCCGCTGTCTTGGCCCTGGCCTGTTTTTCTCCCTCCCTCATCTCAAATATTTTCCCACCACTCTGTACTTAGGAAGGAAGGAAAGAAGGAGAGGGAGCGTCTGAGGGAAGTCCTGCCTTAGACCTGCCCTGCTGTCCTTTCACCATCCCCCTGCCCCCTCCTCCTGGCCTATCCTGGGGGTCTCCCATCCTATTGCTAAGAAAGCTTTGGATACAAAGCCGGGTCTCCTCCCATGGAGAGGGAATGGGACTCCCTCTGACTTTGCCCTTGTACCCATCATGAGCAACCTGGCTAAGGAGAGCAAGCACAGCAGCAGCAGCCGTGAGGAGGAGGTAAGTGCAGCTGGGCGCCCCCTTGGGGAAGTGGGGCTGGGCTTGGGGCCACGGGTGCTCGAGGGCCAGGCTGGGCATTTGACCTCTGCTGCCCAGGGTTCCAGGCAGCCCGCACCACCATCCAGCCCTCCCCCCCCCCCGCACGGCCTGAGAGGAACAGTGAGGCTCCTCCAGTGGACCATGCCTCGGCACTTGCCCTGGTCCCACCCCCTTCTGCCAGAGACCCTCAGATCTGTCCCACTCCTGCCCAGGCCACCACAGGCACCTTTGACACGAACGATGTAGATTTGGCCACGCCCACCCAGTAGGCCACACCCACTCCATCCACGCCCACCCAGTAGGCCGCACCCACCCTGGCCACAACCCCCTCCCGAGGGCAACCGCAATGCTGATGCGGCCCTCAATGAAATTGAGTTTGACACCTCTGCCTTAGGGGATGCCACAACAGTCATAAACGTGAAAACTGGTCATAAGTCACTTTTTTCCAATACCATTGTGAGGACTCTCTGTGATTATTGGTCAATAAGCAGGTTTCCTAAGCAAGGGAACCTTTCTCCTTTCTTCTAAAAGATGATGATAATAATAATAATAATAATAATAATAATAATAATAATAATAATAATAATAGTAGTAGTAGTAGTAGTAGTAGTAAAGTTGGAAGGGACCTTGGAGGTCATCTAGTCCAACCCCCTGCTCGGGCAGGAAACCCTACACCATTTCGGACAAATGGCTGTCCAGTCTCTTCTTAAAAACTTCCAGTGTTGGAGCATTTACTGCTTCTGGAGGCAAGCTGTTCCACTGATTAATTGTTCTCACTGTCAGGAAGTTTCTCCTTAGTTCTAGGTTGCTTCTCTCCTTGATTAGTTTCCACCCGTTGCTTCTTGTCCTGCCTTCAGGTGCTTTGGAAAATAGCTTAATTCCCTCTTCTTTATGATTCCACTCTACTGTCCTTTCTCTGCTGAACCGTTTCTTTTGGCCACATCGACCTCCTTAAGTAAGTTCAAATGAAGGGAAGAGGGACAAATTAGAATTTGCGTACCTAGTGGAGCTTTCCGGGTGTCGTACTTCATCTCGATCACCATCTCCTCCATCATCCGAATATTACATATCAGCTCTAGCAAAGCCTGCACCCGTGGCTCCAGCTGGGAAACTGGCTTGGGCTTGGAGACTGTTTTCTCAGGGCCAGCATCTGCTGAATTCTCCTGGCAGGAATGCAAAAGGAGAGCTTATGGGCAAAATATCCTTCTGATTTCTTTTTTTTTTTTTAATTTTTATTTTAGACCAGTATTTCCCAAACTTGACAATTTTAAGGCATGTGGACTTCAACTCCCAGAATTCCACAGCCAGCAACGCTGGCTGTGGAATTCTGGGAGTTGAAGTCCTCATGCCTTAAAATTGTCAAGTTTGGGAAACACTGTTTTAGACCAACAAAACAAAACAAAACACAACAAAACATTACACACATACACCCGTAATATATCCTTTTTTGTTGACAGCAATTTCCTTCTGATTTCTAAGCTGCCTCCCTGCTCTTTCCCGCCAAAAGTCTTACAGCATCTCGGGCTTCGTAGTCCAGATGAAGGAGATCATATTTGCCTGAGACTTTCTGGAAGCTGTTCCGTTTGTCCCATTCGTTTTTGGTTTTGTCTAGGAACCTCAGAGGCAAAGAAGAAGAAGAAAAAAGCCAGGTTCAGGAGAAGGGAGGTGTTGAGAGGGATAAGGACACTGCCAAGAGTTTTAGAGGGACTCACTTTTTGGTGAAGATGTCTTTGGCTTTCGCTAAATCTCCAGAGCAAGGCACAAGGGAATGCTGGCCAGGCTTACCCACTAGAAAGTAAATAATAATAATGAATGAATGAATGAATAGTAAAAAATAATCAGAATGAATGAATGAATGAATGGCAATAGCACTTAAGACTTATATACCCCTTCATAGTATATAAGCCCTCTCTATAAAATCCCTCTAGCATATGAGCCATGTCTAAACGGTTTACAGCAGGGGTGTCAAACTGCCAGCCTGCGGGCCGGACACGTCATGTGGAAGCCACGCCCAGTCCATTGCCAGCAATGGCAAAACTGGCCCGATACGTTGCGCGACGTCACGTGACATCGCGAGTTTGACATGCCTGGTTTACGGAGTCAGCCTGTTGCCCCCAACCATCTGAGTCCTCATTTTACCGACCTCGGAAGGATGGAAGGCTGAGTTAACCTTGAGCCTGTCAGGATCGAACTCCTGGCAGTGGGCAGAGTTAGCCTGCAATACTGCATTCTAATCACTGCGCCACTACAGCATGAATGAATGAATGAATGAATGAATGAATGATCAAAAGGATCATTACAGAGTACAGAAGAGGTAAAGCCACATTCTAGAACTCAGAAAAATCCAAGAATTCCAGAAGACTCCAAAAATTTGATTGACTAACATTTCAATCATTTTTTTTAAAAAAAACAGGTTTTTATGATAATTCTTATAGCTTTATAGCAGTGGTTCCCAACATTTTTAATGCCGCGACCCCCAACCGGTCGTAAGTCGAAGACTAAACCAGTCGTAAGTCGAGGACTAAACCAGTCGTAAGTCGAAGACTTTCCCTACCTGGGAGCGCTGCGCATTTATGGTGCCGCACCCTGCGCTGGCCGAGGCGTAGCTGGCAAGCGGCAGAGACGGAGCAGGCCGACCACTAGCTGGCCCAGCCCAAGGGAGGTAAGGCACCCGCCAGAAAAGGAAAAAAAAATGGCAGACAGCCTTGCTTGGCGACCCCTGTGAAATGGTCGATCGACCCCAAATGGGGTCGCGACCCATAGGTTGAGAACCGCTGCTTTATAGACAGTGAGATTCTTGATTGTATTTCTCAGTTTAAGATGTGTGGACTTCAACTCCCAGAATTCCTCAGCCAGACCCTCAAAGGCGTCTAGAGCCATGTTTCTCAACCTTAGCAACTTCAAGATGTGTAGATTTCAACTCCCAGAATTCCCAAGCAGCAGGCTGCCTGGGGAATTCTGGAAACTGAAGTCTACACACCTTGGAAGTTGCCAAAGTTGAGAAACACAATCCTAGATCTATAATTGCTAGGTGAAATAGAGCAATGATTTTTTTTTTTTAGTTTTTATTAAAAACGAAGGCCTACTCCTGTTCCAGGCTTGTCAGCTTTTGTTCTCACTTCCTTCCTCCATGACTCAGTTCCTTGCCCCAACTCACCGCGCCCCCAGCGCATCCAGACGCTGTAGTTCTGTGCATTGTCTTCTTCCAACAGTTGTATGAGGTAGTATTTATTGTTGTTGAATTGAAGGTTTGTCTGGAGGAAGCCCAAGATGGAAGAAAAGGAGCTGGTCAGAAATGAGACAACATCTTTTTTTTTTTATTGAAAATTTTTAAAATTTTACAAAAAAAAAAGTTCCCTTCCCCAAACCCTCCCAACCCACCCCAACCCTCCCCCAACCTTCCCAGAGCTGAATACAGGCTTAATTAAAATTTAAAAGAAAAAATTTTAAACACAAATGAACCATATACAAATTTGGTTACAATAATTAAACAAATCATAAAATACTTTAACACCAATACTTAAAAAACAGAAAGAGAAAAAGAAAAGAAACAAGAAGAAGAAGAAAAAAGAAAAGAAAAAAAAGAAACTAGAAAAAGAAAAAAAATATCTAAAAAATATCTTAAACTTTAAATATAAGCTATTCAAAAGCTAAATAATATTTTTAGAAATGAGACAACATCTTGTTCCTTTTCTATTTCATGTACTGCTCTCCTACATGTCTTCTGAACAAACATCTATGAAAGATCAGGTTTTCATACAATTATTTCTCCAATCTCCAATTTCTTCAGGGGAAGTTTGCTCTGTAGGATAATATGAACCCAGCTGAGGAAGTGGGGAGCCCAAATTTATCAATAAGCTTCACCTACATCAGTGGTTCTCAAGCTGTGGTCCGTGGACCACTAGGGGGGATGTCATCACAGGTGGTCTGCGAAGGCTTGAAAAAATATTATGATTTAAATCTTAAATTAAGTCTTGGGAGTCCATGGCCATGGTCTGTGGTCACAACAAACATTTAAAGGTGGGGGGGTCTGTGGTGAAGAAAAGGTTGAGAACCACTGCCCCACATCATTATAGTTTCTAGTTCTGTCTTCCCTGCCTCTTAGGAGAGCATAGATCAGTGGTGGCGAACCTATGGCAAGCGTGCCAGAGGCGTCACTCAGAGCCCTCTCTGTGGGCATGCGCGCCATGCCCCGGAGATGGCAACCGTCCCTCTTCAACCAGCCGCCCGCTAACTCACTGAGGTCCCACATGACCGGATGCATCCCAGCACCCATGTGCTCACTGGCCTCTGTGTGCAGGGGCTCTTGGTGTCAGGTAACGGCCGCCCCGGCCTCACCTTGCCCTGTGACAATGGCATCCCTGCCTCGCCTCATCCCGCAGGACGAGCCTCCTGCCCACCGCCGCACTGCCAGAGACTCCCTGGATCTCCTCCAACCCTGCTCAGCCCCCACAGGCGTCCCTCACCACGAGCAACATCGAGGTGATCACGCTGGTTGAAGAGGGACGGTTGCCATCTCCGGGGCATGGCGCGCGTGCCCACAGAGAGGGCTCTGAGTGACGCCTCTGGCACGCTTGCCATAGGTTCGCCACCACCTTGACCACACCCACCCAATCTGCCATGACCATAGCCACACCCACCCAATGGGCCACGCCCACCTGGCACCCGGCAATAAATAAGTGGGTTTTGGGCTGCAGTTTGGGCACTCGGTCACTAAAAGGTTTGCCATCACTGGCATAGATGGTTCTTCCCACAGTTTTGTCCTCCAGATAATTCTTGTTAAGAACAAGAGATTCAGAGATAGGCCTTGTCTGATCTCATTTGGTGGACCCTGTGACTGAAATCAAGAGATTAACTGAAGTCCTGCAACTGAAGTCCAACCTTTTTTTTTTCTTAACCAGGCAGAATCTCTCGCAATGACAGGTGAGAGGGGTGATCCCATGGGTGCTCTTTTTATTTGTTTGTATTTTTGGCCGTTATAGATGAAGTATGTATTGGATAGGCAGTGGTTGGTCAGATCTAGGATGTGTTTGGGGGGTTTATATTTGTTTTGGATAGCTGTCAAGGCTTTTTTGATTGGCACTTGGGTGAAGAGGGATATGACATCAAAGCTCACAAGTAGGTCGCTGGGCTGTAAGTTTTGTTTCTTTATGATCTCTATGAACTGGAATGAGTTTTTTACATGTGAGGTGATGGATTCTGCATAGGGCTGTAGTTGTTTGGTGAGAAATTTGGCTAGGTTTTGTAGAGGTGAGCCTATGGAGCTGACTATGGGTCTAAGTGGGGTTCCTTCTTTGTGTATCTTGGGGAGACCATAGAGCTTAGGGCATCTGGATGATTTCGCTCTGGGAATGATTCTTTGCTGGATCTCTTCGCTAATGGGGGAGGCTTTTATTTTGGATCTAGTGGTTTTTTCCAGGTATGTGGTGGGATCTATGTTTAGGTATGGTCCACTCACCTGATTTAACATCACGTCGTAAATGTCGTCTCCTTCACAATAAACATGAGCCTTTAGAAAAGGCAGGAAAGAGGAAGGGAGGTTATTCAAAGCAAAGGAATGAAAAAAAATTAAAAAGAAAGCCTCTTTCAAGCTAGGCTTGACTCCTAATGACTTCATAAAGACAACCATGGAGTTTCCTTGGCTGAAAAATGCAATTGTCTTCTTCCAACTTGCTAGTCTGACCTACAGCTTTTGGACTTCCTGTAGGGCTCCATCCAAGTACTAGCCAAACAAGACCCTTCTTAGCTTCCAAGACCAGACAGGATGACCACTTGCTTGCTAAAAATAGTCTAATGAGAGTCTTTTCCAGGCTACAAAAACCTTCTATTTCCCCACCAAATGCTGTTCCAACAAGCTGGATTTCAACTTCCAACATTCCCAGAAAGCATGGCTAAAAAGGGGCTGTTTTAGGCTAACAAAAGTCAGCATGAGGAAGTGGCTTAAGGCAGTGATCTTTAACCTGTGGGCTGTGGTCCTCTACTGGTCCGTGGCCTATTTGCAACTAGGACATGTGAGTGACTGGCTGGTGTGCATGCATGCACAGACCCACTCAAATGAGTACTGTAGGCCATCGGGGCCTCATACAAGTATTACGGGTGCTGATGACTTACTTTTCCCGCTTTGGCTGTGCACTCTGGGTCCACCGGAGCTTTTCCTTTCACTGTCAATGTCTTCACTGCTTCTGTAGACAAAATTAATAATAACAACAACACCACTTGGGTATCCTTCAAGCTGACAACATCAAGCACACTGAAGTCAAGAAAAAGATTAGAGGTGAATACATCAAGAGAGTGAAGAAGATCTTAAAGTCCAAACTCAATGGAGGAAATACCATGAAGGCAATCAACACCTGGGCAATTCCAGTCATTAGATACACAGCTGGAATAGTGGACTGGACTCAAGCAGAACTAAAAGCAATGGATAGGAAGACCAGAAAAATAATGACAATGAATCATGCCCTTCATCCACACAGTGACATTGACAGACTTTATCTACCAAGGCAAATAGGTGGGCGTGGAATGCTGCAAGTACATCAGATGGTTGAAGAAGAAAAAAATGGCTTTGGAAGAATATCTGAAGGACAGTGATGAAGATGCACTGAAATTAGTTTATCAGGAAGGCTTACTGACTACTGGAGAGACCAAACTGGCCTACAAGAAAGATCAAATAAAGAACAGAATAGAGGCATGGGAAGACAAAGCACTACATGGCCAGTACGTTAAAAAAATAGCTGGGAAAGCAGATAATAACAAGACCTGGCAATGGCTAAGAGCAGGAAAATTGAAGAAAGAGACCAAGGGACTAATGCTGGCTGCACAAGACCAAGCTTTAAGGACAAATGCATATAAAGTCAAAATTGAGAAGACAGCAACAGATAGTATAAGTGCCGCCTATGCAAAGAAACTGAAGAAACAATGGACCACCTGGTAAGCTGCTGCAAGAAGATCTCACAGACTGACTAAAAGCAGCGGCATGACAAAGTAGCAACAATGGTGCATTGGAAGATCTGCAAGAAATATCATTTACCTGTATGCAAGAACTGGTGGGATCATAAAATAGAGAAAGTCATAGAAAATGATAAGATTAAACTGCTCTGGGACTTCAGAATTCAAACAGACAAGCACCTGCAACATAACACCCCGGACTTAACAATTGTCGATAAGAAAGACAAAAAAAGTCTGGATAGTGAACGTGGCAGTGCCTGGAGACAGCAGAATAGACGAGAAAGAACTGGAGAAGATAACAAAATACAAAGACCTACAAATAGAAAGACTGTGGCAAAGGCAAGCAAGGGTAGTACCAATAGTAATAGGCTCCTTGGGTGCAATCCCAAAACAATTGGAGCACCACTTGAACACCATTGGCATTGACAAATTCGCCATCAGTCAATTGCAAAAGGCGGCCTACTAGGAACTGCTTCCATCCTGCAATGATATCTGTAATACCATCAAACATCCACATCTGCCTATCCCAGGTCCTTGACAAAAATGCCAAAACCAGTCTGAAATCTGGCTGACTGTGCGATGATCAATCATCATCATCACCATCCCACTTTGCATTGAACAGTGTCTACAACAGAGTAGACACCGTACAATCTCAGCATTAAAAGAACCCATGATCTTACTCCTTATGATCCTAGCGTCTCTGGGCTTAAAACAAAATGGCACTTAATTAAAGGGGTATTTCAGCAACACTAACTTCTTATCGCGATGGATCAGAGGTTAAAGACACTAAGTTTGTCAGTTGGAAAGCTGAGACCCAAGTGCCGCGTGATGGGGAGAGTTCCCATGATTGGTTATTGGTTGCATGCAAGTGCAAGTAGATTAATAGGTACCACTTCAGTGGGAAGGTAACAGCATTCCGTGCACCTCGGCGCATAGTCATGCTCGCCACATGGCCACGGAGGTGTCTTTGGATAATGCTGGCTCCCTCGGCTAAGAAACGGAGATGGGCACCACTCTCTAGAGTCGGACATGACTGGACAGAGGAAAACCTTTAACTTCTTATGAGATTCCTAATTGCAGTTCCTATTACCAACCTCCCCACCATGAATCTATTTCTGAAGGATCAGACTGTTCTTTTCATCACATTGTCATGCATTAACCCCCCAAATCATTTTCTCGGCTTTTACCCTGCCCATCTCCTTCCCCACGCGATGCTAGGGCATCTAATTCAGTCTGGGACTTCTTAGCAGGAACCGCCGTACTGGCATCCAAGTCACGGCTGTTTAGCTGGGATCCGCCCACAGCCTCTGTTGCATCTGAATCAGGAAAAGAAAGGCAGAATGGGACAGAGGTGTTAGTTGTGGTTTCAATTCCTGTGTAAGGACAGAAGGGAAGGGGCCTCCGAGGCCAAATCTATGCTCACAGCAACCTAGAACTAAGGAGAAACTTCCTGACAGTGAGAACAATTAATTGGTGGAACAGCCTGCCTCCAGAAGCAGTAAATGCTCCAACACTGGAAGTTTTTAAGAAGAGACTGGACAGCCATTTGTCCGAAATGGTGTAGGGTTTCCTGCCTGAGCAGGAGGTTGGACTAGATGACCTCCAAGGTCCCTTCCAACTTTACTACTATTACAAGATTTCCATTTGCAAGGAGCCCAGCCGAAGTTCCACAGTTCAGTTCCCAGCGTAAGAATAAATTTCTGTACCCCGATACCTGACTCCCTGCATTCCATCCGACGTTCAAATTTAGTCCGCTGGTTTGTCTGCACCATGCGGTCCGTGTCCAGCTTGTAGCGGGTCCGACCGACTGTCAAGTCCACTATGGGCTCCCGGTAACCATTCTTGGCTGCCTGTAAATCCAAGCAGGTAGCAGCGGGGTATGGATTCCAGTCGTTTTCTTGGTCTCCTTCCCATTGCCAGACCAAATCTGCACCCATGTGGGTGAACAAAGGAAAGGGAGAAGAAAATTGAATTAATATAAGAAGCAAAGGCTAACTCTCTCTCAGGTGTGAAGGAGGAGGAGAAATGAGAAACTGCCTTGTCCTGCAGCTGGTCTCCTATACAGATAAAAGTTCATCGGCCTTCAATGGGGGTCAGAATTCACTTGTCTTGTGCCCATGTAGGGATTCCAGATTAGTTCCCCATTTCACTCCTCCCCCTGGCTCCACCAGCCTCTCTCTTATATGTGGCCAAGTTTTATGATAGTTTTGTCCAAATCCATTGCTTACTTAAATCTCTCCAGATTACATATAGTCCTCGACTTATGATGACCACTGGGACCAGAATTTCCATTGTTAAGCAAGGTGGTTCTTAAATGAGCATTTATTTAACATTGTTGCCATGGTTGCTAAGCAAACCATGTCGTCATCAAGCGAATCCGGCTTTCCCCCATTGACTTTGCTTGTCAGAAGCCAGGTGGGAAAGTCACAAATGGCGATCACATCACCCAGGTAAATATGTGCCCATTGCCAAGCGTTTCAGTCAAATCATGTGACTGTGAAAAGGCTGTGATGGTTGCAAGTAAGAGGACTAGACATACTGTAGACCAGGGCTTTTCAACCTTTTCACCCATTGTACCACTTTTAGGATATAGCAACATCCGAGTACCACCAGTCGCCTAGCAAAGTGTCAAAAACTTGATGACCAAAAAAAAAAAAGGAAAAAAGTAATGAAGTACAGGTAGTCCTCGACTTACAACAGTTTCCTTAGTGACTGTTCGAAGTTACAATAGTACTGAAAAAAGTGCCCCCCAAGCCACAGCCGAGCAAGACACCTGCCTGCCCACCCGGCTGCGCTCTTTCTCCTGTCTGAGGTTTTCATTGTTGTGAGCATTTTTGTTGAGGATTGGCAGCGGGGATGGGTGGGGGGTGTTTGGTTTTTATTCCCCCCGTCTGCTGGGTGGCTGCAGCAGGCTTTGGTTACTTCACATGACCCTGGGACACTGTGACCATCATAAATATAAATCAGTGCCAAGCATCTGAATGTAAATCACAAGACCCTGGAGAGGCTGCAACATTCCAGCTGATCGGCGCTTCTTCTAGGCTCAGCAGAAGCACCAGGATCAGCGCCGAGCTCCAGCTGGAGCCTGGCGCTGATCCTGACACTTCCACTGAGCCCTGACAGCCCTGCAGCTCTAGCCATCTCTCGCTCAGGCTTTGTGGTACTGCCACCAGTTCAGCTCATTCCCCTCCCCCGCTACCACTTTTCTAGGATGGTCGCATACCACCTGCCAGGTGCCAATGTACACAGGTGGTACCCGTATCACTGGTTGAAAAACCCTGCTGTAGATCACTTTTTTCCAAGTTGTTCAACTGTGAAAAGTCACTAAATGAGTTATAAGTCAAGGACCGCCTGTATCAGAACCAAAGGGCAGGATCAGATAAAGGTGGTCACTGGAAATGTTGACCTAAAAGGCAGGATACAAATGCAATAAATACAGGCAGTCCTCAACTTACGACCACAATTGAGCCCATAATTTCTGTTCCTCAGTGAGACACTTGTTAAGGGAGTTATGTCCCATTTTACGATCTTTCTTGCCACAGTTGTTAAGCGAGTCACTGCAGTTGTTAAGCTAGTAACATAGTTGTTAAATGAATCTGGCTTGCTCCCTTGACTTTGCTTGTCAGAAGGTCGCAAAAGGGGATCACATGACCCCAGGGCACTGCAACCGTCACAAACATGAGTCAGTTGTACAAGCGTCTGGGTTTTGATTAGGGGACCGTGGGGATGCTACAGCGGTCGTAAGTGTGAAAAATGCTCATAAGTGACTTTTTTCATGGCCATTGAAATGTCTATCCCGAAGATGCGTTTTCACAAGGCAACTGGACTTTCTTGTTTTGCTTCTCATCGAAGAAGCTTCTTCAGCTCTGACTGGATGGTGGGGAATGGAAGGATTTATATGCCTGCAGACAGCTGGTCATTTGCATTCTTTTAGAGAGTCCAGGTAGCCTCAACGACTCTCTAAAAGAGTGCAAATGACCGGCTGTCCGCAAGGAATATAAATCCTTCCATTCCCCACCATCCAGTCAGAGCTGAACAAGCTTCCTGGATGAGAAGCGAAACGTCTTCAAAGAAAAACAAGAAAGTCCAGTTGCCTCGTGAAAAAGTATCTTTGGGATGGCCGTTGTAACTTCAAACGGTCACTAAATGAACTGTTGTTAAGTCAAGGACTACCTGTGTCTTAGAAATAGCGACTTACAGGATTTCTGATCCCAGACAGCCACACGGACACGGTTCTCCTCACCGCTCTGCTTGTTCCACTCCACCATCTTGCACAGGTCCACAATGTCTTCCCCAAAATCTTCTGTACTTTTCTGTTCCCTGCAGGGAACAGACGAGTTTGTATTACAACCTCTGCAATCAATTCCTGGCTGCTGCATCCTCCTCCTCCTTCTCCTCCTCTTCTTCTTCCTCCTCTTCCTCCTCCTCCTCCTCCTCCTCCTTCTTCTTCTCCTCCTTCTTCTTCTCCTCCTTCAGCTCCTCCTCCTCCTTCTCCTCCTCCTTCTTCTCCTCCTTCTTCTCCTCCTCCTTCTTCTTCTTCTCCTCCTCCTTCTTCTCCTCCTTCTTCTTCTCCTCCTTCTCCTTCTTCAGCTCCTCCTCCTCCTTCTCCTCCTCCTCCTTCTTCTTCTCCTCCTTCTTCTTCTCCTCCTTCTCCTTCTTCAGCTCCTCCTCCTCCTCCTCCTCCTTCTTCTCCTCCTTCTCCTCCTCCTTCTCCTCCTCCTCCTTCTTCAGCTCCTCCTCCTCCTCCTTCTCCTCCTCCTTCTTCTTCTCCTCCTCCTTCTCCTCCTTTTTCTTCAGCTCCTCCTCCTCCTCCTCCTCCTCCTCCTCCTCCTCCTCCTCCTTCTCCTCCTCCTCCTTCAGCTCCTCCTCCTCCTCCTCCTTCTCCTCTTCCTCCTCCTCCTTCAGCTCCTCCTCCTCCTCCTCCTCCTCCTCCTCCTCCTCTTCCAAGCCAACTTACCGAATGGCTTGGCTCAGGGCCTCACTCTGTCCAGACGGGAAGATCTGCCATTTGTTGTCACTGATCTCTCGCTCCCAGCGCAGTGCAGGCTGGGTCCCTGCATCGGCAGGCTGGACTTCAGGAGCCTTTCGTTTCCTTTTCATCCCTGTGACAACACAACACACCTAAGCGGCCAGATTGCCAATTGGGAGCCCCCAACCTGGCATGGAAGATAAGCTGCAATAGCAATAGCGCTTAGACTTACTGTACAGATAAGTCCTTGACTTAGGACTACAACTGAGCGCAACATTTCTGTTGTTCAGCGAGACATTTGTTAACTGAGTTTTGCCTCATTTTGTGACCTTTCTTGCTGCAGTTGTTAAGTGAATCACTGCAGTTGATAGGTTAGTAACACGGTGGCTAAGTGAATTTGGCTTCCGCATTGATTTTGCTTATCAAAAGATTGCAAAAGGCGGGAATCACGTGACCTTGGGACACAGCAACAGTCGTAAGTATGAACCAGTCACCAAGCACCTGGATTTTGCTCACCTGATCATGGGGATGCTACAATGGTCGTAAGTGTGAAAAATGGTCATGTTACCTTTTTCAGTGCCGTTGTAACTTTGAATGGTCACTAAATGAACTATTGTAAGTCGAGGATTAACTGTATAGAGTGCCCCATTGTGTTTTATAGCACTCTGAGAAGTTTACAAGGTCAGCATATTGCGCCCAATAATCTGGGTCTTCATTTTACCCACCTCGGAAGGATGGAAGGTTGAGTCCCATCAGGATCGAACTCTAGGCTATAGGCAGAGTTTGCCTGCAATACTCCATTTTGACCACTGCACCACCATGGCTCTAAGCTGCAACTATTACCCCATTTCTGCAAAAGGGAAGATGGGTTTCTTTCTCCACCCCTTCCCTGGGCATTGTGTGCCCAGCCATTCTTGAGCTGCTAATAGGGACTGCCAGTATAGATAGTCCTTGACTTACAATTATTTGTTTAGTGACCGAAGTTACAACGCCACTGAAAAGAGTGACTTATGACCGTTTTTCGCACTTACACGAGCATCTTAGATGAGCATCCCCATGGTCATGTGATCAAAATTCATATGCTGAGCAACTACTTCAAATTTACAACGACTGCAATGTCCTAGGTCAGGGGTAGGCAACCTTGGCGCTTTTATGACTCGTGGACTTCAACTCCCAGAATTCCTGAGTCAGCATGGCTGAGCTTCGAAAACTCTCCCTTTTCCTCAGCACGGCTGCTCAGGAATTCTGGGAGTTGAAGTCCACGAGTCATAAAAGTGCCAAGGTTGCCTACCCCTGCTCTAGGCCCTTTTGTGACCTTCTGACAAGCAAAGTCAATGGGGAAACATAGTCACTGAAGAAACGTGTTACTAACTTAACAACTGCAGTGATTCACTTAACAACTGTGGCCTGAAAGGTCGTAAAATGGGGCAAAGCTCACTTAACAACGGTCTCACTTAGCAACAGAAATTTTGGGCTCAATTGTCATTGTAAGGTGAAGACTACCTGTAAGCTGTTTTTCCTGCCTCTAAAAATCAAAGTGAATGCCTTAATAACCTTGCTATCCACAAGATTGTTATCTTTCCCTAGGAGCGTCTTTCTCCACCTATCATAAGAAATAACTTTTAGGTGCCAGGCAAATGTTTTGCAGATTTGAATCAGCTAAGTATCATTTAACCACACCTCTTTTAGGCTCTTATGGACAGTTTTGTAGGAATAGGGCAGTGATGGCGAACGTTTTAGAGACCGAGTGCCCAAACTGCAACCCAAACCCCACTTATTTATCGCCGGGTGCCAGGTGGACGTGGCCCACTGGATGGGCGTGGCTGTGGTGGTCATGGCAGACTGGGTGGGTGTGGCCAAGGTGGGCGTGATCACCTCAACGTTGCTCGTGGGGAGGGACACCTGTGGGGGTCAGGCAGGGTGGGGGAGATCCAGGGGGGTCTCTGGCAGGTGGGGTGGTGGGCAGGAGGCTCGTCCTGCGGGGTAAGGCGAGGCAAGGTGAGGCAGGGTGGGGGTGCCATTGTCACAGGGCAAGGTGAGGCAGGTGAGGCTGCCTGACACCATCGGCCCCTGCACACAGAGACCAGCGAGCGCATGGGTGCTGGGAGGCATCCAGCCATGTGGGACCTCGGCAAGTTAGTGGGCAGTTGGTTGAAGAGGGACGGTTGCCATCTCCGGGGCACGGCGAGTGTGCCCACAGAGAGGGCTCCGAGTGCCGCCTCTGGCACAAATGGTATAATTTCGCCACCACTGGAATAGGGTGTCATTCTGGATCATGAGAGAGCCGGCTTTGAAACATTTTTGTTTTTGCAGCAAATATAACATCTTATAGTTCTTTAATACCTGTTAAGTAAGTGTTCCGTATGGTTCCTTGAAGACTAACAAGTCTGTGTGGATTTGTGCATTACAATCCCCTCCTTTTGCTATTCCCCCCCCCCCCCGTAATAAAGCCACTGGTTTTGAAAGTGCCATACAACTTGTTTTGGCATCACCACCATTGCTATAGCTGCCTTTTTCCACTGGAATATAGCAAGACATTTTTCTCATCTCTTCAGTGTTTTAATTTCCTAATTAGTATGCAGTGTGTTTGTGTGGATGTTCTGAAACTTCATCCCTGGAAGTTTCAAAGGTGCTTTTTTTTTCAAAAAGGCAACTGGATTTTCTTAGTTTTTAATTTGAAAACATTTCGCTTCTCCTCCAAGAAGCTTCTTCAGCTGTAACTAACTGGTGGGAATGGAGGGATTTATATTCTTTGCAGTCATCAAATTGTTAGCTGAAAAAGAGTTTTTATCCCAGAGCTGTAACCATATTAAATAGTACTGTATAGTGCAACATTGAAGTGCAATATTAGGGGCAGAACAATGGTGAATAGAATGTGAAGGATGTGGGTATATAATGCATGTTTTTACTTGTGTGTAGTGTGCACTGTGGACAGCCCTTAATTTTGTTGTGAGATACACAATGACAATAAAGATATTCTATTCTAGCACTTTGAGAGTCATTGAGGCCACTTGGGGGTTATCTGTGTCCTCAGAGTCATCTGAATCAGAATGTAAATGGGTGTGGAGTCTTCTTGGGATTGCGTTGTAAACAGGAGATAGGTTGTGTTATATCCCTCCCCTTTTGTTGAGAGAAGGCTGTTCAGTTTTAACATAAGAGGCCTCTTTGACCCCCTCTTTTCAAACCAGTGGTCCTCTCTGTCCAGAATGTGAACTTTGCTGTCTTCAAAAGAGTGGCCCTTACCTTTCAGATGCAGATGGACTGCTGAATCCTGTCTTGATGAGTTTGTTCTGTGATGTGTTGTGCCATGCGTTTGTGAAGTGATTGTTTTGTTTCTCTAACGTACAGGTATGGACATGTCTCGCTGCATTGCACTGCATATACCACGTTGCTGCTTGTGTTTGGGTGTTCTGAGAGGACCACAGGTTTGAAAGAGGAGTCAAAAGAGGCCATCTATATTAAAATAGAATAGCCCTCCCTCAACAGAAGGGGGAGGGATATGACACAATCTACCTTCTGCTTACAACACAGTCCCAAGAGGATTCCACACTGTTTACACTCCGATTCAGGTGACTCTGAGGATACAGATAACCCCCCCAAGTGGAAACTCAGTGACTCTGCAGATAACTGCAAAGAATATAAATCCTTCTATTCCCCATCAGTCAGTGAAGCGAAATGTTTTCAAAGAGAAAAACCAAGAAAGTCCAGTTGCCTTTTGGAAAAAGCACCTTTGGGACAACCATGACCAGGATGATTGAGAATCTCCATAGATACCCATCCCTGGAAGTTACCACTACCCCACAAACCAGTGTTTCTCAACCTTGACAATTTTAAGGCATGTGGACTTCAACTCCCAGAATTCCACAGCCTTAAAATTGTCAAGGTTGAGAAACCCTGCCCAAAACAGTTTGCCAGCCACTTTTATTAGTACTGTACCCTTTTATTATGACTATCAAGTGACACTTAGCAATATTAGAAATGGCTGGTCAGTTGCATGGGAAATACAAGTAGTCCTCAACTTACAACAGTTCATTTAATGACTGTGCGACACTGAAAAAAGTGATGTTTCATATGACCATTGCAGCCCCCTCAGGGTCACGTGATCAAAATTCGGATGCTTGGCAACTTACTCATATGTCCCGAGGTCATGTGATGACCTTTTGCGACCTTCTGACAAGCAAAGTCAAGGGGGAAGCCAGATTAACTTAACAACCTTGTGACTAACTCACCAACTGCATGATTCACTTAACAACTGCCATAAAATGGGGGCAAATCTCACTTAACAAATGTCTCACTTAGCAAAAGAAATTTTGGGGACAGTTGTGGTTGTAAATCGAGGGCTACCTGTACTGTACACTCCAGCACCTGCTCAGATCTTGTCTGCCCCAATCAGAACAAAACGTAGATAAACCTCACATTCAGACTGGTATTTGGTGATAAAGTCCACTCCATTCTCCCATCCTGATTTAAATGTTGTTATTTGCAAAAAATGATGGACCAGGCAGTTTTACTGAAACCACTCAATCAACCTGGAAACACCGGCAAACAACAAAGCAAATTCTTTGGGACAACCTAAGAATTTAGGTGCTGGCGAGGATGGCAGAAAAAATGATTGGCAGTTCCCTCCCTTTCATCCAGGACATAGCATATAAGTGTTGCTCGAGCAAGGTCCGCAGGATTGTCTGGGACGCTACAGATCCTCTTCCCGACCTGTTTTCCTTGTTACCTTCAGGGTATCCGTGGCAGAACATCCAGATTCAGCAAGTTTCATGCCATACAGTATCAACCTTGTGTACTCTCAAGCTTCCTCTTTTCGCTATGCATTCAAGATGGACAGTGATTACTATTTATGTGTATTCATATGTAAGGGTGTAGGTATATACATATCTATGTATATAGCATGTGTATATGTGTTATGTATGTGTACACTTTTGAGAGCAAGCAACAGAATTTCATTTTTAATGTAAAAATGATAATAAAGGTTATCTGTCTGTCTACCTACCAATGTGTCTGTCTGTCGTCTGTCTCTCTCTCTCTCTCTCTCTCTCTATCTATCTATCTATCATCCTAAGCGTGCATTTTTCCCTCTCTCCGCCTTTTTTGCTTCCACCCCTATTCCCTCCCCCATCCATTTCTTAACAAGGTCTATTTTACTGCAAAGAGGAGTTTTTGCAACTTTGTCCCGCTGATCTCCCCCGCCCCGACTTGATGCTAATGCAAAACTAGCTTTCCCGCGTCGTGCGAACGCGTTTCCACGTTTTTTTGCAACCAACGCGCCACTCACCAGCAACTTCCGCTTTCACCACCCGGGATGCCGCTTCCGCCTTTCTCTCGCAAGGTCCTTCCCGGGAACGTTCTGCGCCCCTCCTCCGGACAGACTCCACCCCTTTTATTTGCAGTCGTCAAATTTGCGCGGCGCTCGAAAAGAAAAGCGGGGAGGTCCCACGGGGAGGAGGGGAAGAGCGGGGAGAGATCCTCGCCCATCCATTGGCTAAACCGGCTCGGGGGGAGGAAGCAGAGGGAGAAAAAGCAAAGGGCGATTTGCAAATGAAAAGAGGTGCATGATGGTCGCCGCTCGAACTTGAACTATCCATTCTCCCGCCCCTGTTTTGTTCCAAGAGGCATGTTTTATAACCTGTAAGCATTGTGTCTTTTATTTAAAGGTTTAATTTTTTTCGTACTTGGAACTGGTACAAAGACAGCTGACACAAATCAACAGTCACCATAACTGGAGAGAAAATTAAGAATTAGTGTTTATATAAGATTTGTTGTACGTGTACTAGATAATTGCTGGGAGGAAGCTCTCCGTAGAGGCCACTAGCTGGGTGTCTATCACCCTACTTCTGCCTCTGGGAAGGTCTGAGGGAAGGGCCAAATTGCCACCCTAGCAGGGTGCCACCTTCTGAAGGTGGGTGAGTTCCCAGCAATGTGGGTCTCCGATGAAGTCCTAATATTGAGGCAGGAGAAGCGGAGAGGGGTCCTAGGCTCTTCCCCGCGGATGTCTCTGTGGCTCCGTTCGGGATTTGGGAATGACTCACGGCCGGCAGCTTTGAGTACAATGGGAAGAGGTGAAGCACTGTCAGCTTCATAACCCAATTCAGACTAGTCTCCTCCCAGTATTTTCCCTGCTTTTAAATTTTGTAAAAAAAATTTTTTTTCTCTATTTCCCCCATTTTTTTCTGCAGAGCGCTACGTTGGAGATGACAATTTAGGAGAAATTTCAGAAGGGAGCAGAATTGGAGTTTCAGCTGAACTACTGGAGTAGAATCAGCATAACAGAGTTGGAAGGGGCCTTGGAGGTCCTCTAGCCCAACCCCCTGCACAAGCAGGAGATCCTATATCATTTCAGACAAGTGGCTGTCCAATCTGTTCTTAAAAGCCTCCAATGATGGAGAATCAGAGCAGAGCTGGAAGGGATCTTGGAGGTCTTCTACTCCAGCCTCCTGCTCAAGCAGGAGATTCTATACCAGTGATGGCAAACCTTTTAGAGACCAAGTGCCCAAAAACTGGCCCCGCTCCTGCTCCACCCCCCTATCTATTTCCCCGCCTGCCCGCAGGGCCACTCACCGCCTCCAGGGCCCGCTGCAGATCACCCAGCCAGCCCAGCAGTGCTATGGTGGTCACGCCCTCTGCCCGCGCCCTGCAGCATCAACTGTACACGATGGGGTGTGAGGGCAGAGTCTTGTCTACGCTGCCTGGCTGCCATGTCCTTGGCTACGCTGCTCCCCGTGGGCCATGCTCAGGGTTGACTCTCCTTCAGGGGGGCTGCTGGAGAGGAGGGGGTCAGGGGGGAGGGAAGGCTAGGGCAATGGCACTTGTGCCCACAGAGAGGGCTCCTAGTGCCGCCTCTGGCACCCGTGCCATAGGTTTGCCACCACTGTCCTATACCATTTCAGACAAGTGATTGTCCACCCACAGCTTCTGAAGGCAAGCCTTTAATTGGTTAGTCATTCTTACTTTTAAAAAATTTCTCCTTAGTTTTAGGTTGCTTCTCTCTTTGATTAGTTTCCATCTGTTGCTTCTTGTTCTGCCTTCCGGTGCTTTGGCAAATAAGGTTGACCCCCTTTTCTTTGTGGCAACCCCTCAAATATTGGGCACTACTGTTATGTCACCCTTGGTCCTTCTTTTCATTAGAAGAAGCCCACCTTCTTCTCCTCTGCTAAAGAGGATCACACTATTCACCCATGAAAACTGGTCTTCAAGTTTAGCATTCTTTACGCAGTGTTCATAATCCTACAGAAAAGCCATGGATTGGTACAAATCAACTTTATGATCAGAACGGCAAGGAATAGTTTTCTAAAACAACAATATAATGAAGGAAAAAAGAACAAAGCATACATCATGAACAGATTTGAAGATTTATTTCTGTATATTTTATATGTATTATGCAGATCGTGTGAAAGTTGCTGAAATCAGTTAGATACCTGGTCCGTGGTATAATTGGACCACTTGGAAAAGCGCTGGTGCATCATAATAACAAAGGCATTAAGAAAAAATAAATGATTGAGCCCACCTACATTTATACAGGTTGTTGTTGACTCACAACAGTTCATTTAGTGAATGTTCGAAGTTACAACGGCACTGAAAAAGTGACTTATGACCATTTTCACAATTACAGCATTCCCATGGTCATGTGATCAAAAGGTGGATACTTGGCAACGGGTTCATATTTATGACGGTTGCAGAGTCCCTATTCTGTCCCTCACAGAATAAGCTGCTGGATTCCGCTGAGACAGGCAGTTACTCAGTGAAAACAAGACAAAGAAAATATCACTTTTATTCTAGGAATCTTCAAACATCAACTTACGTTTATGTAGAAATGCATCCAGAACATAGACAGCAATAAGCTCATTCTTCACAGGTAAATTGACAATGGAATTCCCCTCTTCTGTGTAACCTTACATGTTGGAGATCTTAGTCCAGCCACCACATGGCTAGCTTTCAAGTAGTGAAAACGATACAAAGGCACAAGACAAAAGCATTCCTTCCAAGCTGGCACATAGCCAGGATATCCTGTGATGAACTTAGTAGCTCCTCCAACTGACTTGTTAAACATAGGATTCACTGAACAGCTAAACTACATTAGCCATAAACCCTTTCTTAAGGAAACAGCATCTAACCCTTTAAATGCCAAACATTCCAATATACAGTTCTTATAGCTAATACATGCTCTGGCCAGGTGATTACATTACCAGTCCCGCATAGTCCCATGATCACGTGATCCCCTTTTGAGACCTTCAGCAAGCAAAGTCAATGGGGAAGCCAGATTCACTTAACAACTGTGTTACAAACTTCACAAGTGCAGTGATTCACTTAACATCTGTGGTAAGCAAAGGTGTAAAATGGGGCAAAATTCACCTAACAGTGGTCTCACTTAACAACAGAAATTTTGGGGCTCAATTGTGGTGGTAGATTGAGGACTACAAGTACATTTTTTAGGAACGTACTTGAAGTGAGTTTTGCCTCATTTTGCAACTTTTCTTGCCACAGTTGTTAAGTGAACCACTTCAGTTGGTAAGTTAGTAACATGGTTGTTAGGAGAATCTGCCTTCCCCCTTGACTTTGCATGTCAGAAGGTCACAAACGGGGATCACATGACTTTGGGACACTGCGACCATCATAAAAACATGCCGATAGCTAAGCATCCAAATTTTGATGACGTGACCATGGGGATGCTGCAATGGTTGTAGGTGTGAAAAAGGTCATAAGTCACTTTTTTCAGTGTGTTGTAACTTTGAACCGTCACTGAACAAATGGTTATAAGTTGAGGACTACCCTGTAAATAAGGAGAGCTCTATATTAGGATTTTATGTTCCCACAATGTCTTTAATCCCATCTGTCAGATTTCTTAAACAATTATTTTGGCAGCACGTTATTACATCAATAAGTTCAAAAGTTTTGGAATTACAGATAGTCCTTATCTCACAATAGTTCATTTAGTGACTGTTCAAAGTTACAACATCACTGAAGAAATTAATTTATGACCATTTTTCACACTTATGACCATTGCCGCATCTCCATGGTCATATGATCAAAATTCAGACACTTGGCAACTGACTAACAATTGTCTCCTTTAACAACAGAAATTTTAAGCACAATTGTGGTCATAAATTGAGGGCTACAAGTACATTGCGTAGGAATCATCTGTTCCACAACTCATTCCCAGTTGTTGCATAGAAGAAAATTCATAGGGACACCATAACAGATTCCTTCCAATTCTGAATAATGCCTTAATTTATCAGGAGGAGCCCTACCCATGCAGTACCTAGGCATGAAATCTGTGCGACCATGAAGTTTCCCAATTGGTATTAGTGTCGTTGAAATAGGAGGTTGGCAGATGCAAAGGGACGTAGTCATGGCAACTGGACCCAGTCAGAGTGGGAGCACACATCAACACGTAATAGAACTTAACGTGTCCGTAATGGAGGTAGCATTTTTGCCATTTGCTAAGACCTGAACTCAACATCCTGTGAGATCTATACAAGAGATCATCGTGCCAGACATCACTGTCCCAAACTTCCACTAGAAACCTGTCATTGCCCTCCAACGTGATAGCCCCAAAGTCCAGATTTTCTGACCATTGAGGGTTGTTGTTCCCACTGATGACCCTAGTGCGCCTTTCCTGTTTTTGAAAAAAAATTTTGACGTAGGCATCGGTGGAGGAAAAATGGTCACCCCAAAGACCGGATCCACTGTCCACATGGAACCTGAGGTACGCCCTGCCCCGCTCGGTGCCACAACATTTGTCATTGATGACACCGTTTGGTATACACATGCAGGTGCACCTTCGGACCAAGCTGTTGAAGTTATTCTCGGGACAGCTTTGGCGACAATCTCTCCTTAGGGCTCTCCGTTTGATGTAGCTCACAGTGGCTTGCTTCAAAAAATTCCTCCTGGGATCCGTCTTGTTCAACAAGGTGTGTAGAGATAAAAGGGAATAAGACACCAGCCCGGGTGTCCTTTTGGTGCTCTCCATCCACTCGGAGAGATGATCCATGTTTCTGCTGTCTGAGAAGAGCATCTGTTTGTGACCTCCTATCACTTCGGTGTGCTGGGTCATATAAAGGTCGTAGAAGCTGGGTTTAGATTTCCTGAACCAGAGCTTGGCACATTCAAAATGGAAGGAAGCAACTCCCCAAAGCCCTTTACCTTTCAGGGATGTCTCCAAATCCAAACAGGCCTTGACTTTCTCCACCGTGAACCCCATTAAGCTCATGGCACAAGTTTTCAAGGCCAGCAAATAGCGGGCTCGCCCGCCCAGATACACCCGGTTGATATAATGGGTGCCGTAGATGTTGATGAAATTCTGGTATTCCTCAGGATCATAATAGGGAGGCAACCTGCCGATGGCCCAAGCAAAGTGGAAGGACAGCAGAGGATTCTGCTGAAGTCTCAGACTGCAAAGGAAAAGAACGAAAAATGCAGAATATTGTAAGCAAGGTTGTGTGTCAAAGGCACATACCCAAAGCTTATTTTCTGCCTCGGCATTCAGCAGGAAGAAGGAAGGTGATGCAACAATCATGCTGAAGGTCAGATGGTTTCTGGTGGTCATTTTATGGGTAGGAGTTCACTGCTCAGTTTGATGTGGCATTGGGAAAACATATTTTCTGTTCCCCTTTTCCTTTCCTGATTAATCTTGAAAAGATTCTCTGAAAATAGGGGGGGGGGCCTTTTTTATTTTTTCCATCATGACACCAAATAATACTTTACTGAGTCAATACCCAGTACAAGCAGACCTCAATGTATAGCCATTTGTTTAGTGACCAATTTTACAACAGCACTAAAAAAAAAGTGACATACAGCAAGTTCTCACACTTACAACTGTTGAAACATTCCTGCGGTCATGTGATCAAAATACATGCAACTGGCATGTATTTAATGACAGTTGCACTGTCCTGGGGAAGTCACGTGATCGCTATTTGTAACCTTCTTAGCTCATCTAATGAGTCAAATCAACAGAAGTCAGATTTGCTTAATGACCGCATGATTCACTTAGAAATAGAATAGAATAGAATAGAATAGAATAGAATAGAATAGAATAGAATAGAATAGAATAGAATAGAATAGAATAGAATAGAAATGATTCGCTTAACAACTGTGGCTAAAAAAACCATAAAATGGGGCAAAACTCCCTTAACACCTGTCTTGCTTAATAATGAAAGTTTTGGGATCCCTTGTGGTCATAAATCAAGAAATACCTGTAACCTGGTTGTCTGTGCCTTTTTGAAGTACCAGATCTGCAATTTATTTTAAAGGTAACCCACAATAAATCTCAGATGTCACCTACAATAAATATCCATCATAGACGGATTGTTAGATTGTCTGCAATTATGAAGCTTCTCTACCGAGCTAGAATCATGTCTGTAAAATTTCTACTGTAAACCAGGTTCTGGGTTCTGGGTTTGAATGTTTGGCCCTGTGCAGTGGTGGGATTCAAATATGTGAACAACCGGTTGTCTGTGTGGATGCCGCTTCCAGAAGTCCATTCTGGGCCCGGGCAATAAAAAATTAGCTACTGGTTTTGCTGAAGTGGTGCGAAACGGCTGAATCCCACCACTGGCCCTGTGGTTTATTGCTGTTTTTGAAGTCTGGCATCAGATCACATCCTTCCACCAGTGATTTGGTGGTTTCCAAAAGTACATCTTCTTAACCAAAAATAGGTCAAAATATTTTGGAAGAGGCTGTTTAATCTGGAATGCTGCCTCCTTGACCTCCTCAAACTACTTCCAGGTCAGAGAATTTATTTCCAGAAACCATTTAACTGCCCCACCCCAAATGGTATGGTCCAGAGAGGACACAGAACATTTTGGAGCTCTATGGAACATTCTATACCATGCTGGGAGAAATATCAACAACCTAAGATATGCAGATGATACCACTCTAATGGCAGAAAGTAAAGAGGAACTGAAGAGCCTTTTGATGTGGGTGAAGAAAGAGAGTGCAAAAGTTGGCTTGAAACTCAACATTAAGAAAACCAAAATCATGGCATCCAGCCCTCTCAATTCCTGGCAAATAGATGGGGAAGAAATGGAGGTAGTGACAGATTTTATTTTTCTGGGCTCCAAGATCACCTCAGATGGGGACTGCAGCCAAGAAATTAAAAGACGCTTGCTCCTGGGGAGGAAAGCTATGGCAAATCTAGACAGCATACTAAAAAGCAGAGACATCACCCTGCCAACAAAAGTGCGTATAGTCCAGGCCATGGTTTTCCCAGTTGCAATGTATGGCTGTGAAAGTTGGACCATAAGAAAGGCTGAGCGCCAAAGAATTGAGGCCTTTGAACTATCGTGCTGGAGAAGACTCCTGCGAGTCCCTTGGACTGCAAGGCGTTCAAACCGGTCAGTCCTAGAAGAGATCAACCCCGACTGCTCTTTAGAAGGCCAGATCCTGAAGTTGAAACTCAAATACTTTGGCCACCTAATGAGAAGGAAGGACTCACTGGAGAAGGGCCTAATGCTGGGAAAGATTGAGGGCAATAGAAGAAGGGGACGACAGAGAATGAGATGGCTGGATGGAGTCACTGAAGCAGTAGGTGTGAACTTAAATGGACTCCAGAAGATGGTAGAGGACAGGAAGACCTGGAGGAACGTTGTCCATGGGGTCGCGATGGGTCGGACACGACTTCGCAATTAACAACAACAACTTCACTGCAAAACTTATCCTGGCATTCTGCACTAGCCATAACTTCTGAATCGTTCCTTTTCTCAATTTTCAAATTCTTTTATACTGTTCTTCTTCATGCTGTAAGCTGCCCAGAGTTGCTTGAAAGTGAGATGGGCAGCATATACACTTAATAAATAAAGAAAGGTAGTCCTTGACTTGTGACACCATTGTTAAGGGAGGTTTGCCCCATTTTGCGACCTTTCTTGGCACAGTTGTTAAGCGAATCGCTGCACTTGGTAAGTTAGTAACACGGTTGTTAAGTGAATCTGGCTTCCCCATTGACTTTGTTTGTCAGAAAGTCACAAAAGGGGATCACGTGACCCTGGGACACTGCGACTGTCATAAAAACATGCCAGTTGCTAAGCATCCCAATTTTGATGGCGTGACCGTGGGGATGCCACAGTGGTCATAGGTGTGAAAAAAGGTCGTAAGTCGCTTTTTTCAGTGTGTTGTAACTTTGAACAGTCACTGAACGAATGGTTATAAGTCGAGGACTACCCTGTAAATAAGGAGAGCTCTATATTAGGATTCTCTGTTCCCACAACTTCCTTAATCCCATCAGTCATTGACTTAGTCAAATCTCTTCAACAATGATTTTGACAGCACATTATTACATTAATAAGTTCAAAGGTCACCAGTTTTGGAATTACAGATGGTCTCTGTCTTACAACAGTTCAGTTTAAAGTTACAACATCACTGAAAAAAGTGAATTATGACCATTTTTCACACTCATGACCGTTGCTGCATCCCCATGGTCATGTGATCAAAATTCAGTCACTTGGCAACGGACTCACATTTGTTACCTTTGCACTCTCCTAGAATCATGTGATCCCTTTTTTACGATCTTCTGACCAGCAAAGTCAATCGGGGAAGCCAGATTCAGCCACGCTACTAATTTAACAACTGCAGTGATCCACTTAACAACTGTGGCAAGCAAAGGCGTAAAATCGGGCAAACCTCGCTTAACAAATGTCTCACTTTGCAACATAAATTTTGGGCTCAGTTATGGTCGTAAGTCAAGGACTACTACCTGTACTGAGCTCCACCTTGTTCTCTCCAGGAGGTATCTGGTATCTGAAGAAACCTTACACCAAAGTACTGGCAGTGCTCCAGTTCTTCACTAGCTGTACTAGCCAAGCAAGCAAGGCATAACGGCAGGGCCTGGCTGGCATTGTGGCACCCACTCAGTGTGTGTTGCTATACCTTGGCAGTGAGTCCAGTAATAGAAATGCTTGTTTTCTTTTTAACTGCCACCTTACCTCTATCTTTTTTTGAGAGAGAGAGAGAGAGAGAGATTGAGAGAGAGAGAGAGAACTAAGTACAAACAATCTGTCCCCTTGCCTTTGTGTGGGAGTTCTGCAACTCAGTTGACAAGATGGAATTTAACCCTGTCCATGATTGAACCTGTCATGAGATAAAGTTTACCCCCCTTGAGATTATTGTTGCCTGGATTAATTATCTATTCTTCCCTCCCTCCAAATTGAGCCAGTTAAATTGTGTTGGAGGAATCAGGACGAGGAACCTTATTCCGAAATTAGGTTGTAGCTACTCAGCAAACATAGTATTTTTTGGTGAGGCGAGCCCTTGAAATTCTGATGATTCCAGAAAGATCTTCAAAAATCCCATCTGGAAAAGAGCAGTTATCCGACTCTTAGCCACAAACCCTCATTCCTGACCACATTCAGCTACAGCCTGAAGACCATTTTTCATATGACTGTTGCAGCACCCTCAGGGTCACGTGATCAAAATTCGGATGCTTGGCAACAGACTCATATTTATGACAGTTGCAGGGTCCCGGGGATATGTGATCCCTTTTTTTTTTTTTTATTAAAGAGTTTTATAAATTTTACAGAAAATAAAAGACAATACAAAAACAAAAAACAACATATACAAATAAAAAACAAACATTACCCAACAAAACCCCCCTTCCCCCACCCCTACCCAAACCCCCCCTTCCCCCCCCCAGGGCCTCCCAGAGCAGAATATAGGCTTAATTAAAAAAAATTAAAAAAATTTATATTTATAAAAAAAAGAATATAAAATAGAAAATATATATATATATAAAGTTAAAAATTATGAAAAAACTATATAGTATTTTTTTATATCAAATTTAAATTGTATGAATTTTATCCATTTATCCCAAAAAGCAAGATCCCCTTTTGTGACTTTCTGACAAGCGTGATCCTTTTTGTGACTTTCTGACAAGCAAAATCAATGGGGAAGCCAGATTCACTTCACAAGCGTTTGACTAATTTAACTGCAGTGACTCGCATAACAATGGTGGCAACAAAGCTCGTAAAATGGGACAGAATTCACTTAGCAACAAAAAATTTTGGTTTGATTGTGGTCGTAAGTTGAGGACTATCTGTATTTGCAGCCAAACACCAATGTGGGTTATGCACAGGCAGCCCTAGCTCAGATGCAAAATTGAAAAATAAGAGTTGTGTGTCCCCAACATTTTGACTGTGTCGATTACACAGGCTCCCCTGATTAGCGCCTATAATAGATTCATACCGAGGTCAAATAAAATGGGGGGTGCAAATCGCCTTGGGTTATCGCACGTGTTAACTGGCATGAGCGCCTAACACAGCCCTTCCACCCACTTCCCCAAAACTAATTTTGTATGGAAATACTGCAATACAGTGCCTCCAACTTTGAGTTGTTCCTAGAGGACACTACAGCTGGCAATTTCAAAAGCGTCTGGGGGGATGATGGAGAGACAACAGCTATCTGAATAAAGATTGCTTGTCGGGATGACAAAGACTAATTCATTCCCCTTAAAACAAGAATGAATGGATTTGGATGCCGGTGTTTTTTGAGATAATTGCAGTCATGCCATCAACACCCATCAAGTATCTTGTCCCCAGAGCTGATACTGGTAGCTGGACAATAGTTACTACAAGCTTCTGAGACCTAGCATGAGCGAAGCAACCTTTTGTTATAGCCCATTGGATGTTCCACAATAAAGGAGATATTTGTAGCTCAAGGTTGAAATGGGGGGGGCCCTTGGTGTTCTCTGAGCTTGGTTGTTTTCTCGCAGACGTTTCATTACCCAACTAGGAAACAACATCAGGGCTAGTGAGGAGTGGGATTTGCTGTCAGTATAAACTGAGAGCAAACCCCACTCCTTACTAGCACCGATGATCGTCCGAAAGATGCTTTTTCAAGAGGCAACTGGACCTTCTGGTTTTCCTTGAAGATGTTTTGCTTCTCATTCTTGGACGAGAAGTGAAATGTCTTCAAGGAAGCCAAGAAAGTCAGTTGCCTCTTGAAAAAGCACCTTTGGGATAACCATGACCTGGATGACTGAGAATCTCCATAGACATTTAGCATTGATGACATTTCCTAGTTTGGGTAATGAAATGTCTGCAAGAAAACAACCAAGCTCAGAGAGCACCAAGGACCCCCCACCTTCCACAATAAATTCTGGTCAACTCCAGTTCTGGATGATGGAGCTGAAATCCCTTCTTCATCATCCAAGAGACGTTCAACATTTAATAGCTTTGGGATGGGATTTGGACAGGTGGATTCAAATGAGAGTTCTCCAAAGTGGTCTTTATTAACCCCCAAGGATCAATGGAACTCTTCAAGGACTCTATTATTATTATTATTAATAATAATAATAATAATAATAATAATAATAATAATAATAATAATAATTGTAGTAGTTCTATTAGTTAAAGTAGTATTTATTAAATTATTGACATACAATACATGTTTGGAGGTCCATGAACCATCTGAAATTTCATCAAGAGGCTGATGAGCTGAAGAAATTGGGGACCCCTGATCTAAATCATCTTAATAGTAGGACTAAGATCGTTCATTTCGACTTATGTCTCTGTCTGTAGTATTATTTTCTCCAGCAAGCTGGCTACTGCAGCTGTCCCCCTCCCCGCCTCCGGTTTATTCTTTGAAGTGCTTTGATGCTTACCTGTAATGTTCGCATTCGATCTCATTCCTCAGAAAGCTGTATCTGTCCTCGCGGGTTTTCTGATGTGCAAAAATGGCCAAGTTGGAGTGAGAGCCAGCAAAAGCCACCTGGGCTTTGGAGAGCCCCAAGTCGTCCTCCATGAAATCCTCAGTGAACTCTGTTTTCCAGTCATTCTTCACTTCTTTGGCTACTGCGTTGGCCACATCTATGTCTAACTCATCCACAAAGTTGTTTGCTTGTCGTTGGCAGGTTTCCTTCTCCCGCCAATCCACCCCAACTAGGGGGAGTCTCTGCAGCTTCTCACCCATCTTATGATTCCGACACAGGGTACACGTCCCGTTGGGTCCCTGCCACTTGCTGATATCCACCACATAAGCTCCTTTCTTCTCCAGAGTGGTGATATCAACTCCTTCCCCGATAAAGTTATAGCCTGGTACGAAGTTGGCCTGATTCTTGCAGACAGGACTGGGATATGTGTCGCATTCACTGTTGTGGAAGGGGAGAGAGGAATGGAAGGAAACAAGGAAGACCATGAAGAAGAGATAAAGCTGGGACATGTTCCTCATAGAGCGTTTCATATTCTTAGACAGTTCGTTTCTGAATTATCCTGAGGAGAAAAAAAAAAGCAACAGATATTTTTTTGGGCAGGGTTTTGGAGGTGTGACAAAAAAAATTGAATCAGAACAACACCTTTCCTACATTGAAACAGGGCAGTCCAACTTGCAGGCACAAGAAAAAGAAGGTTAGGTGCTGATGATGGACACTACATTATTTGATATTAAATTTGGGAGGTCCATTGGGGAGCCTCCAATTTTCAAGGGACCAGAAATGGTCCAGAAGCTTCAGATGGTGCACATTTTGGATAAAGCTGACCAGTAATGACCCACCAAGTAAATTCCATGGCTGAGGATGCACATGAATACAGTTGGATGTTATGCATGAAACAGCTATTTGAGTTAGAATAGAATAGAGCTGGAAGGGACTTTGGAGATCTTCTAGTTCATCCCTCTCCTCAAGCAGGAAACTCTATATTTGAGACAAGTAGCTGCCCAGTCTCTTCTTAAACACCTCCAGTGATGAACCACCCACAATTTCTGAAGGCAAACTGTTCCACTGGTTAATTAACTGTTAGGAAGTTTTTCCTTAATTCCAGGTTGCTTTTCTCCTTGATTAGTTTCCATCTATTGCTTCTTAATTTGTCCTTTGTGTTTTGGAAAATAAATTTATCTCCTGTTCTTTGTCGCAGCCCCTCAAATACTGGAATATTGTTATCCTGTCACCCCTAGTCCTTCTTTTCTCTAGAATAGCCAAACCCATATCCTGCAACCCTTCTTCATATGTTTTAGTCTCCAGGTCTTTATAATCATCTTAGTTGCTCTTCTTTGCACTTTTTCCAAAGTCTCAACATCTTCTTTGTAATGTGGTGACCAAAACCGGATGCAGTGTTATAGCTAAGGAAGTCACCATTAGATGCTTTGTTCCAGAAGCCCCATACAGGGTTTGGAATGGTAAGGTAGACATCACCACCCCTACCACTATCATCAATCATCATAATCCATTCCTCTCTGGAGATAGCCACTTGCCTTTTTCTGAACCTGGATTCCGTTTCCAGCTTGGTAATAGCTAGAACTCCATCATTGCTGGTTTTGCTCTGTGATGCAGCTGCAACAAAGGAAAATGTTTCATTTGTCCTTGCACTCTAAAGAAGTCAGAATGGCAATCTTCCCTTCTTTCACCTTTAAACTGCAATTGTCATTTGATGTCTCCTATCATCACAGCCACTCTCTCGCTGTCTGGTCGACCCTTGCTGTGAAATCAAGATTGGATATATTTAGAAACTTACCTCTTTCTTTAAAACAAGCAAGTCTATACCCGAAGACCAATTCTGAGAAAAGTCTCTCTTTTTCTTGCTCTCTTTGCTTTTTGCTTCTTCCCTGTTCTAGCAAGTGTGGCTAGAATTCTAGGAGAAATGTTAGAGAAAGAGGAGGGGGGAAAATATGAAGAAATAGCTTTTCATAGCAGCATATTCCCCTTGCTTTTAGCAAAGACCGAGAGCGTTTGGTGTGTGTTTTAGTTTCGCTTCCTCTTTTTAGTTGACCGTTACTGGATTTGAAAAATTCCTGTCTGGCATCCAGAGCTGGAAAGGAACATTGACATTTAAATTTTTTCCAGATGGATGTTTATTTATTCATTTCATTTAGCAATAAAGAATTCCTTGTGATGTTCCTTCGAGAATTGGGCATTCCACTTTGGGTGGGTTTTGGGTCTAATGAGGATTCAAGGAAGAACATGATTTTACCAAAAAAGAGAAAGAGGCCTCTAATGCCTGCCCCCCCCCTCAAAAAAAAATAGAAAAAATGGGGGAGTATTTTTGCCAACAGGTCCTTTGTGTTTAATCTTCATTTTAAAAAGAAAATAAAAATGGAGGTGGCCTCATGCAAACTGTCATATCCCATTTAAAACCTGAATGCTGATTTGTGCCTTCCGAGCTAAACAGAAAAGTGGGCAGTGTCTTCTTATAAACAACAGGCCATGTTAGTAGTTACATTATTAGAAATCTCTGGTGTCTCCCTTTGTGGTTGCTTTTGATGAGGAGAAAGCTTTATTCAGAGAGAGAAAGAGGCATTTTAAAGGGAGAACAAATCAACAAAGTAGAGGGAGAAATGGATTAAAAATAGGGAGGTGAAGTACAGCAGAGATTTTCAGCTACCGTAAATGCCGGCGTATAAGACGACTTCCGCGAGCGCTGAAATCGACGCCAAAGACAGGGGTCGTCTTATACGCCGAGTCGTCTTATACGCCGGAAATACTGGTAGTTTCCGGCGTATAAGACGACATTCTAGGAATGCGGCCCGGCTATAAAGACATAAAGACGGGAGTCGTCTTATACGCCGGGTCGCCTTGTATGCCGGCATTTACGGTATGTTTTTTTTTTTCGGCCTTTCATTTGTTTGTTATAAATGGCTGAGTGAATTATATTAAGGTGACCAACTTTTTTGCAATGAAAAGAAGGACACAAATAAATTGAAGAAAAAAATATCGTAAATAAAAGAAACATTTTATTCATTGCAACAATAATACAGATAACTTGCATGTGCAAAGTTTGCCAGCTGGGTGTTTTGGCGCGCTCGGCAGCAATTCCTATTGGCTTTTGAAAGTCAATAGTGGGAGTAGCACAGCTCATGCAAAAGTTGAAAAAAAAAACCATCAAAAAAAACGTTCCAGAACACCATTCTGAGCGTTCTATGAGGGGAAAAAAAGCCATGCAGATTAGTCTTCAAATATCGAAAAGGAGGACATGAAGGAGGACACTTTTCAAGGGAGGACAGAACTTACAAAAGGAGGACTGTCCTCCCTAAAGGAGGACGGTTGGTCACCTTAATTATATTGCTTGTAAAAATGGCAGACTGGTTTAAAATTAAAAAGAGCACAAATATCTGGAATAATATTCATTAGAATATATGGTAGATAAGAAAAAGATTATAGATTACAATCCTTTGTATGCATACTGCTAAAGTTTCTTCTGACTGAAGCATTATACAATGCCGAAATAAGAAGGCCATATTTGTACCATATTTTGCATATAATACAATTCCACCTAGAAACAGCCATCTAGAAATGGTTTCCAAACTGAGTGATAGTCTGTATCAGATTTACTTTTAGGATAGAAGTTTATTTTAAGTAACAAAGCAGACTCCGAGTTAGTCATTTATCTACAGAATGAGATCAATTTTCCAATGTAAAGTATTGCATATCTTCACAGCAGTTAAGATATCCAAAGATAATTCAGCATACAGTAGTGTTATGGTTCCGGCTAATAAAACACTTCAAAGAACTTCCAGGCATTGATTTTCCTAAAAGTCTTTTATTGTTACAAAATGTCGGCACAGGCATAACGGAAGGTATGCCAAGATCTAAATTCTCTTCCCCTGAGCAATTAAATTATCAGCATGTTCTCTCCCCAAATTAGCTGTCATATATCAGGTTATCCAATTAGTATGAAGGTCAAAGGTTTCCTTCCTCTCCCTTTCCCTTTACCCTCTTCTGCTCTGCATTAACTCTAAAAATACCAGACAGTTCTGCATATTGTCAGAGCAAGAATATACAGTATTTGCAGCGTTGACACAGTAGTTTATGGGAATACATGGCTTAGTAAAAATTAAGAATATTGCAGAAAAAATGTTCCTTGGAAAAAGAATTCAACTTTTAGAATTGACCCCATTCTCATACAAAACCATTTTCTAGAATTGTTGAGCCTTACCACATTCTCACCAAATAAGAAAACAATGTCTGACCAGATTATTACATTTATCATCGTTTTTAGAAAATTATCTGTCCGTTTGAATAAGCAGAAGTAGAATAACATACCGGTGATGCAGAAAGCTTGATTTCTTATGCATTTTTTTTTTAAAAAAACCCACTGGTTCTACAGTTAGTCCTCAACTTACAACTGGTCACTTAGCGACCATTCAAAGTTATGATGGATCTCCCCAGTTCCAGAGTTCTGACAGCTAGTTCCTCTCCCTTTTCACTCATGTGACCATATTTCAAGCATTCAGCATTCATTTATGGCAGTTTATAGCATCCTATAGTCATGTGACCACAATTTACAACATTTCTGCCAGAATCCCCTGAAGTAAATAATGGGTTTGCTTAACGACTTTGGCGTTCTCCTAATGACCACCACAAAAAGTAGTGAAATTGGGGTCTGTCACGCGATGACCCACTTTACAACCATCATGACTTACAACCATAATGGCCAGGTTCCATTATAGTCATAAACCGAGGACTACCTGAACTTCTGCCAACCTCTATTCCTTCTTGTGTCCTGAAACATCCTTTCCCATTTTAGCTCCGTTTCTGATGGCATTCACTAAACAAACTTGGGTTAAGAAAGAATACCACATTTCTCATCTTCTGATCTTCTTTGTCTGAGGCTGATTCAGTCAACAAAGGACATAAAAGTTTATTGTACAAGAGTTTATTTACCAGCTAGGTGTATTATTATTATTATTATTATTATTAATAATAATAATAATATACCATCAAACATCCACATCTGCCTATCCCAGGTCCTGGGTAAGGACTCGATAGGTAGACAAAATGCCAAATCCATTCTGAACATCTGGCTGACTGTGCAATGATCAATAATAATAATAAAGTTGGAAGGGACCTTGGAGGTCATCTAGTCCAACCCCCTGCTCAGGCAGGAAACCCTATACCATTTCAGACAAATGGCTGTCCAGTCTCTTGTTAAAAACTTCCAGTGTTGGAGCACCCACAACTGGAGGCAGGTTGTTCCACTGGTTAAATGTTCTAACTGTCAGGAAGTTTCTCCTTAGTTCTAGGTTGCTTCTCTTCTTGATTGGTTTCCATCCGTTGTTTCTTGTCCTGCCTTCAGGCGCTTTGGAGAATAGCTTGACTCCTTCTTCTTTGTGGCAGCCCCTGAGATACTGGAACACTGCTATCATGTCCCCCCCTCGTCCTTCTCTTCGTTAAACTAGACATACCCAATTATCTAATACTTAATTGGAACTGCTCAGAGTTGGTTGGAAGATGGGCAGCTATATGTTTTAAATAAACAGATCAATAAATTATTCTGCTCAGTGCTCCAATATTTGAGGGGCTGTCACAGAGAGGAGGGGGTGGGGTGTCAACTTATTTTCCAAAGCACCTGAAGGCCAGACAAGGAATAATGGGTGGAAACTGATCAAGGAGAGATTCAACCTGGAAATAAGGAGAAATTTCCTGTCAGTCAGAACCATCAACCAATGGAACAGTTTGCCTTCAGATGTTGTGGGAGCTTCATTACTGGAGGGGGTTGGACTAGATGACCTACAAACTCCCTTCCAACTCTGTTATTCTGTTCTAACAAATGAGCCCAAAATTTGTTCTGCTAAGCAAGGTGATTGTTAAGTGAGCCATGCTCCCTTTTATGACCTTTTTTCATCATTGTGGTTAAGAAAATAACTTACGGTAGTTAAGTGAATCATGTGATCATTAAATAAATCTGGTTCCCCCCCACTGACTTTGTTTCCTAGAACCTCCCAATGAAGGCTGCCAATGAACATCACAGAACCCGGGGGATGCTGCAAGCATAAATAAATGCAATTGCCAAGCACTCAAAGTCTGATCATATTGCTGTGGGGATGCTGCATTGGTCATACGTACGAGAACTGGTCATAAGTCACTTTTTTGGTGCCCTTGTAACTTTGAACAATATGAGAAATGAATGGTTGTAAATTGAGGACTACCTTTATAGCCACCCATCTTATAACCCACTCTGCGCTGCTCCCAATCAAAAGTTAAAGCAACATAAAAGCCATATTAAACCTATAAAGCTAAACACATTAGCAACATCCAAAAACAACAAAAACCTGGTGCCAAGTCAAACCTCTGACGTGCGATCTCCTAACGTACTTTTCTCGGTGATTTGAGGATGATGTTCCACTGAAATTCCGCTGTTTTGAGCCCAAAAGTGGCCACAAGTTAATAATCCAAGATCTTCAGTTGTGTTCGCATGTACTTCATTCATCCATGGGTCCTTTCATCCAAGCAGATTTCATTCCCAGTTTAAGATGTATCCTAATTTGATCCAGAGTGTTTTGATTAGTTTCAGATCTGTTTGGATATCAGGACACTGGGCAGCTTTATATTTCTGAGAGATGACAGATATTGTGAAGAATCACCGGTTAATCTACATTTCCTCTATCTGTAGTCAACAGTTGACCAAGGATAAGAGCTAGCCAGCAGTTACCACCCTGTTGGGTCCATGCCTAAACACACATTCCTTCCTCCTGTTAGTACCATTTCTTTATGTTCTGTATTCGACAGGATGACTCAAATTCTTCACCGTTCCAAACTCCTATTCTGCTTGTTCTTCATTTGGGCCTTTGCAGAACATGAGCTAGAGCAAGTACAGAACAAATCATCCCTTTAACGTCCAGGGAGCAATTTGTTGATATTCCAGAAGTGGCATTCCCTGTTTTAAAACAAAATTTCCTAAATCCACATGTAGCATGGGGAAAGAAAGAGAATAAATTAAACAAATAAACAAATAAACACCCCAGGCATAGAAATATGCCAACATTGTTTACAACTGCAAATCCCACATGATCAGTAGAAAAACCTATTCTTATAAACACTGGTTCTCTGCCCGTGTTTGGAAAACCTTTGATCCTCCTGTTTCCACTAAAAGCTTATTTTCTTTTCGTTTTTGCTGAGTATTCATGTCCTGTTCAAGCAGCCACAGTATCAAAAGCAAGGCCTTACTTCACTGAACCTGCGACACTCTGTATTCCAAGAATTTAAACCCAATGGCAAGAAATGTAATTCTGATTAGTGCAGTGGTTCTCAACCTTCCTAATGCCGTGATCCTTTAATACAGTTCCTCATGTTGTGGTGACCCCCAACCCCCATCCAGCTGGCTGGGGAGGGGGGGCAGGAAGGTTGCTCTGCCGTCTCCGCCCAATATATATATATAGTCAATCAGATAAAAATAAAGAGCTCTGGGATGTAAGATAAAAGGCTTTTTTATTAATTGCTGAGCTTTCGTTAACAACCTGTTAACATCATCAGAGCAAAGGGCTAAATTAAATAAATTAATTGATTTGAGTTAGAAAATCAAGGAGTATATGAAATCCCATGCACCACTTGTCCCACCACATACATCGGACAAACCAACAGAAGAATAAGTGCACACATTGAAGAACATAAGAACTCAGTCAAAAAAGAGGAACCAACTTCTTCCCTGGTCCAACACCTTAAAGCCACAGGACATGAAATTGACTTTTAAAAGACCAGAACTATCGCCAAAACTGAACACTTTAATAACAGAATAATCAGAGAGGCCATTGAGATAGAAAAACGCCCACACAGCATGAACAAAGAAGATGATACCTCCCGCCTACCAGCCATTTGGAAACCCACCCTTATTGACAAACGAGTCCCTAACACAAAGAATGACACCAGACCCACACTCACGAAAGCCACACAGGATGTCACCACCACACGTCCACACAAAAAGCAAACCCAAACCCACACCGATGATGAGGCACAACCACAAACCAGAAGCCAGACCACAGCTGCATCATTAGCCACTTTAAACCCCTCCAATCCATACATGAAGCAAACTGACACCCACCATGAAGTTGAGGCACGACCACGAATGCAAAGCCAATCATTTGCGGTTGCGTATAAGCTTTCCCAACGACTACCATTTACACTCTGATGATGTCAAGAGTTCTTGACGAAAGCTAGGTTCAGTAAATAAAAATCTTTTATATTTTTATATTTTTATTCTCTTGGTGATCAACTATTTATTGATTTTAACATGAATATACCCAAGAGTCATATTTTTACTTGTATAGCTGATATATATATATATATATATATATATATATATATATATATATATATATGTGTGTGTGTGTGTGTGTGTGTGTGTGTGTGTGTGTGTGTGTGTGTGTGTGTGTTTTCTGAGGTTTTCGCGGGTGTTTGTATGTAGGCCTTTGGTTGTTCGGGTTTTCTCCTGCGTAAAATTGGAAGTGTCTTGGCGACGTTTCGACGAAGTCCCATTCGTCATCTTCAGGCTGGTGTTTTCAGCTTCGTGCTTCGAGGAGCAATGTGTGGTTTTAGCTGTTTCTTCCTTTTAACTGCCAGTGGGGGTATGAACTGATTGGGTGGGAGCTTGGCTGTGTTCTGATTGGGTGGAGGTATGTTCTGATTGGTTAGGGGCTTGGCTGTGCTCTGATTGGCTAGGGGGTTGGCTGTGCTCTGATTGGCTGGGGGAGTGTTCTGTTTGGGTGGGGGCTTTGTTGTGCTCAGGTTAGTCTGAGTTGCAGGGGGATTTAAGATGGTGGGCTGCCTTGCTATTTTTTGGCTTCGCGTTCGTGGTCGTGCCTCATCTTCATGGAGGGTGTCAGTTTGCTTCATGTATGGATTGGAGGGGTTTAAAGTGGCTAATGATGCAGCCAGCATGACCACAAACCAGAAGCCAGACCACAGCTGCATCATTAGCCCCTCCAATCCATACATGAAGCAAACTGACACCCACCATGAAGTTGAGGCACGACCACTAACGCAAAGCCAAACAACAGCAACGCAGCTCTCTATCTTAAGTCCCCCTGCAACTCAGACTAACCCGAGCACAACAAAGCCCCCACCCAAACAGAACACCCCCCCAGCCAATCAGAGCACAGCCAACCCCCCATCCAATCAGAACACAGCCAAGCTCCCACCCAATCAGTTCATACCCTCACTGGCAATTAAAAGGAAGAAACAGCTACGATCACACATTGCTCCTAGAAGCACGAAGCTGAAAACACCAACCTGAAGATGACGAATGGGACTTTGTCAAAACATCGCCAAGACACTTCCAATTTCACGTGGAGAAAACCCGAATAACCAAAGACCTACATACAAACACCCATGAAAACCTAAGAAAACATATATATATATATATATATATCACATATATATATATATATATATATATATATATATATATATATATATATATATATATATATATATTTGCGGACCGGTGCTGGCATGCCGCAGCCCGGTGCTGGTCCAGGAAGGGGGTTGAGGACCTCTGCACTATAAGAGGTAAGAAGAGTAAATGGAAAAACTGAATGGTAGTCAGTAGAAAAGATGGAAAAGTTAAAAAAAAAGTCCTCAAGTGACAGGAGGAAGTAAAAAATAATTAAAATAATAATAATAATACATTTAGTGACAAAGAAAATGTACATAGTGACATGAGGGAGGAAGATTCAATGAGAGTGAACTGAGTAAATATCCCTCTACTGAAAGTGAAATTGAGGGACTCATTAGATGGGTATAAAAAGAAGAAGTTTGGAAGATGATGAAGATGTGAAGGAAGAATCCTAATGATCAAAAGAAATTTGCAGAGCTGCTGGGTGAAATGGGCAGTTTTTGCTTTGCTACAGATTTACTTCCTCTTATTGTGTCTCTCGTACAGTAATAGACAGCCAAGTCCTCTGGTTTGAGGCTGTTCATTTGAAGATACAGCTGGCTTTTGGCATTGTCTCTGGAGATGATGAAGCATCCTTTCACTTTGACTGAGTACTTAATGCTAGATGAACTTGTATGTATTTCTGAAACCCAGTCAATTTCATGTCCTGTGGTTTTAAGGTGTTGGACCAGGGAAGAAGTTGGTTCCTCTTTTTGACTGAGTTCTTGTGTTCTTCAATGCGTGCACTTATTCTTCTGTTGGTTTGTCTGATGCATGTGGTGGGGCAAGCGGTGCATGGGATTTCATATACTCCTTGATTTTCTAACTCAATTTTGTCTTTGGGGTTTCTTAGGATGGTGGATATTTTTCTGTTCTTGCAGAATGCTTCTTGATGTTGTGTTTGTGGAGGATCTTGCTGATTCTGTCTGTGGTGCCTTTTATGTATGGGAGGAGGGCTTTGCTGTTTTCTTGTTCTCTGTCTTGGATTTTTGTGGGGGTTTCTTTTTGGATTAGGTTGGTAATCTTATTTCTTTGGAATCGTTGGATGTTAGTACATTAGTGAGAGTGTGTAGTTCGGTTTTTAGGTGTTGTTCATCAGCTAAACGTTTTGTTCTGGAGATGAGTGTCTTGGCTACGGAGTTGATCTGTGCTGGGTGGTGGTGTGAGAGTGCGTGCCATAGTTGTTAAGTGAATCACTGCCGTTGTTAAATTAGTAGCATGTTTGTTAAGTAAAGCTGGTTTCCCCATTGGCTTTGTTTGATAGAAGATTGGAAAAGATGATCATATGACCCGGGGATACTGGATCTGTCATAAATATAAATTTTGATCAAGTGACCATGGGGATGTAGCAATGATCATTAATGTGGAAAACTGTCACAGGTCACTTTTTTCAGTGCCCTAGTAACTTCTAACAGTCTTGATAGTGCTGAAGGAAAAGCCTTCATCATGGTTCAGTCCAAGCCGGGAATAAACAACATGGTGACTGCTTTAGAAAGAAGGTTGCGGTTTATTGAAGAGGAGAGCCAGACAGAAAGATGGCTCTGGAAGAAAAAAGAGCATATGCAGGGAGTGAGTTTTTATATCCTCTGGAGCCCTTTGTTTGGAGTTGTTCCTGTGGCATGAACTTTAGCCTGAGTCTAAGTGTGCCCTTTGGCATCTGTGGGTTAATCCTATTATGTCCTGTTTTAGAGTTTGGGTGGGGTATGTCCTGGGGAGGAAAGCTATGGCAAATCTAGACAGCATTCTAAAAAGCAGAGACATCACCCTGCCAACAAAAGTGCGTATAGTCCAGGCCATGGTTTTCCCAGTTGCAATGTATGGCTGTGAAAGTTGGACCATAAGAAAGGCTGAGCACCAAAGAATTGAGGCCTTTGAACTATGGTGCTGGAGAAGATTCCTGCGAGTCCCCTGGACTGCAAGGCGTTCAAACCGGTCAGTCCTAGAAGAGATCAACCCCGACTGCTCTTTAGAAGGCCACATCCTGAAGTTGAAACTCAAGTACTTTGGCCACCTAATGAGAAGAAAGGACTCACTGGAGAAGAGCTTAATGCTGGGAAAGATTGAGGGCAATAGAAGAAGGGGACGACAGAGAATGAGATGGCTGGATGGAGTCACTGAAGCAGTAGGCGTGAATTTAAATGGACTCCAGAAGATGGCAGAGGACAGGAAGACCTGGAGGAACGTTGTCCATGGGGTCGCGAGGGGTCGG